TTATGATAGTAACGGTTACAAAAAGAATTCAAGGATATTAACATTTATGATACCCTGTTTTGGTTCAGTTACATGTGATGTTGACAATTTTACACGTAAATTTTCACCCCACTGACTAGATTTTTTTTTGGAATTTAGTTGACAGTTGGCATTGAATTAAACAAGTGCAATTAAAAGTTAAGGTAAGTAAATATAGCTTAAATGTTTTGTTGTAATTCAGGATAATAATAATAAAATAAAAAATACTAAGTTGAGCATAACTTACCATATGGCTCTAACTATAAATGGACAAATAAGCTTTCCTTAATTAATGTGGTCAATGAAAATTTGACACGCATTGTATGCAATGTCCTTACTAGATATGTTTCTATACAATTATGATTTTCTTACCAAATTTGGATGCCAAATCTGGTATAATAAGTAATTTTTGATTTTCTTTTTATCACACAATTGTTTTTTAAAAAGTTTCAGTGTATTACCATTCATGTTACTGTATATATCTAAAGTGGAACAAGTATACTTACCAATTTAGTGTTTTTGACCAAAACACTTTTTCTATAAAAGAATTTTGAATACATTATCAAAAAAAGAAAAGAAAAATTGCCATATCAAATTCTTGATAATCTAAAAAGACAATTCTACACTTACAAAAACAAAACAAAAATTACGAAAAGGTTTATTATCCAATGCTTGGAAAACAAAATATATGTATCAAAAGAGCTTTAGGACCCGATGCTTGTAAAAGGCCAAGAGGCAAATAATATGATTGCCCTTTACTTGTAAATCGGTGGTACATTTTCAAGATAGCTAAGCAATTAGGATTTCTTACGTTAATAATTTTCATTTAAAATTGTAAGGTCATTTACTTCTCATTAAACAAAAAAAATCAAAATCCAACATGCTATGTAGCTAGAATTTTTTATTTCTTCTATCTTCTAATAAAAATTGGTAAGCACGTCCAGCAATATTACACTTGTATACTATAGTATACCATGCGACTCATTGACTCAAACCGGAAAATGTATAATCTCCTTGAACATTATTAAGGTGGCCTTTCACATCATTCATGGGATTAGCAATGGAATTTACTCTCGAACCATCCCATGAAAGATTTTTATACCCCAACACAACAAAGTGAAACTCAACCAGAGTTTAAGACTATCCTCAAAGTACGTGTTAGCTTATCAATCCCACAGAGAGTTCTATCACGAAAATAGGATAGCAATAAGAATCCAAATAAATGCGGTGGATAAATAAAATGTGAATATTCAGATAAATTAAAGAAATCACGAAAAAGCAAGTCAAATGTTCAACTTAACTGTATGGGAAGACTTTGGGTAGCCGTCGTCGTTCAATTAGGTTCATCAGAGCCACACATGACGAAGCATCTCAAGTTCACGCCATTAGCGCCATCATAGAGTTATTTAGATGGATAAAATTGGAATCAATGCCTAAGCCAGCATGTTTTAATAAAGTCGTTTGACTAACAAATGATTAACCATTCTATATCTATCACCTTCATAATAATAGTGTTTGTTTTTAGATCGAAGACCATGTCTTTGCCTTAAAGGGTAACACGTTAGTTATCCAAAACAAGTCTTCTCTACATCATTATTGTATTAATAATGATATCTCTAACGTAACCATTAAATTAACAGCCTACTTGCAGATTCCAACTCCTAAGTGGAATGCTTAATTCAAGAAAACACGTTAGTTAATTAATTCATAAGTGGAATGCTTCTCTTCTTCAAGAAAACTCCTATTTATTCAACTCGTCTATCCTTCTAGCTATTATGAAATCTTAGCTATGTCTTTTTTACATCATGTTGTGTCTCGTTCTCTTCCTTTATGTCTTTTTATTTTCCTCATCTTCTTAGTGTTACTAGGGAAATCTCAAAAGGAAGCTTTACAAGTTAAGGTGGGAGTTGTTCTTGACACTAATTCGACACTAGCAGATTTGAGCTTGCGAGCAATCAACATGTCTCTGTCGGAATTCTATAACACTCATAATGGCTTCAAGACAAGGATTGTCCTCAACATCCGAGATTCCAACCGATCTGTTGTTGGTGCTGCCGCTTCAGGTACTCGATCTTGCATTGTGCTCCTTCATGGATCGTTTATGAATTATGAAGTTTGATGTAGCTAATATACATTTTTACTATCTTAAAAATCATAACGAATAGAACTCTATAAGATTATCGTTAGAACAATTTTTTTTTATAGATTATATATTTACAAAAAATATTTATTATGTATTTAGAGCAAATTATATTGGATCAATCATCAATGAACACCTAAAAATGTATGAAAGTTGGAAAATTTGACAGAAATGTAACGCAATTTTAACTAATCAGTTTAGCCTTATTCACTGGTTACACCATCAATATTTTAAAAAAAACTTAGAGAATCACCACACAAACTTTTGAAACGGAGAATAACACTTTAGTGAAAATGTTAACCTTAACTTTGCAGCTCTATACTTGATAAAGAAGGAAGTGGTGGCCATTATTGGACCAGGGGATTCAATGCAAGCACCATTTTTAATCAACCTCGGAAACCAATCTCAAATTCCCATAATTTCATTCTCTGTGACAAGCCCTTCTCTCGATTCCCTCCGTAGTCCATATTTCATCAGAGCCACACACGACGACTCGTCTCAAGTTCACGCCATTAGCGCCATCATAGAGTCTTTTCGATGGAGAGAAGTTGTTACCATTTACGTAGACAATGAGTTCGGAGAAGGTATTCTACCTTACGTTGTCGACGCGTTTCAAGAGATCAACGTTCGTATCCGACACCGAAGCGCAATATCATTACATTCCTCCGATGATCAAATCAAGAAAGAGCTCTACAAACTAATGACCATGCCCACTAGGGTTTTCATCGTGCACATGTTACCTCCTCTCGGATCGAGGCTGTTTTCGATGGCGAAAGAGATTGGTATGATGGATAAAGGATATGCATGGATCGTTACAAACGGTATAGCTGATTTAATGAGTTTAATGGGGGAATCAAGCTTGGAAGACATGCATGGTGTCTTGGGAGTCAAGACATATTTCTCAAGATCAAAAGAGCTAACGTATCTTGAAGCTCGTTGGCGAAAAACATTAGGAGGAAAAGAGCTAAACAATTTTGAATGTTGGGCTTATGATACTGCCACAGCACTTGCACTGTCAGTCGAAGAAATCAGTAACGTAAGCATGAGTTTCAACAAGACCAACAACATTTCAAGAAATGACATTGGGACAGATCTCGATGGTCTCGGTGTCTCTCTCTCTGGTCCTAAGCTTCTTGAAGCGTTATCAACGGTGAGTTTCAAAGGCGTTGCCGGGAGATTTCAGCTGAAAAACGGAAAGCTCGAGGCCACGACTTTCAAGATAATCAATATAGAGGAAAGCGGAGAAAGAACAGTTGGTTTTTGGATATCAAAAGTAGGGCTAGTGAATAGACTAAGAGCGAATCAAACAAGCATGAAAGTTTCACGAAGCTCGCGTCGACTTAGACCAATCATATGGCCCGGAGACACTACTCGTGTGCCTAAAGGTTGGGAAATCCCAACGAATGGAAAGAAGCTGAGGATAGCAGTTCCAAAGAAGGATGGTTTCACCAACTTTGTGGAGGTAAAAAAAGACGCAAACACTAATGCTCTAACGGTTTCCGGGTTTTGCATAGATGTTTTCGACGCGGTGATGAGACAAATGCCATATGCTGTCCCTTATGAGTACGTCTCCTTTGAAGCTCCTGATGGAAAATCCGAAGGAAGTTACGACGAAATGGTTTATAAAGTGTTTCTTGGAGTAAGTATAACATTGATCCTTAAACCATTTTCTTGAAACATTCTTTTTTTATATATATCTTGGTTTTATTTGCCACTGAAAACTGTCTATAATGGTCAATATGAAAGCAACTTCGATCAAGATATAGCTAATATTGTTTTTTTGTGTTACTCAATATGATGTAAATAGGAGTTTGATGGAGCAGTAGGTGATACAACAATCTTGGCTAACCGGTCTAATTACGTTGATTTCGCATTACCATACTCAGAGACCGGTATTGTATTCGTAGTGCCGGTTAAGGACGAGAGAGAGAAAGGCAAATGGGTCTTCTTAAGGCCTTTAACAAAAGAGCTCTGGTTTCTCAGTGCTGGTGCTTTTCTCTACATTGGATTCATAGTTTGGATTTTCGAGCACCATTCAGATAAGAAATTCAGAAAACTTAAGATCACAGATCGAATTTCTAACGTGTTCTACTTCTCATTTTCAACACTGTTTTTCGCTCACAGTAAGTTTTTTTGTCACACAACTTCAGCTTCTAATCATACAGCAATTAGTAAATATTAAATAATGACCACATTTTCGATATTTTTTATATCTATAGGGAAGCCATCAGAGAGCGTTTTCACGAGGGCTCTAGTGGTGGTTTGGTGCTTCGTGGTGCTAATACTGACTCAGAGCTACACAGCGACACTGACGTCGATGTTGACTGTTCAAGAGCTTCGACCAACCGTGAAACACATGGATGATCTGTTGAAAAGCAGCGGGAACGTCGGGTATCAGAAGGGTTCGTTTACGCTCGAGAAGCTAAAACAACTGGGTTTCAAAGAATCGAGGCTGAAGATTTATAATTCACCTCAAGAAATGCGTGAGCTTTTTCTTAACGAGAGCAGCGATGGTGGTATTGTTGCTGCATACGATGAAGTCGCTTACGTCAAGCTGTTCATGACTAAATATTGTTCCGAATATTCCATTATCGAGCCTAAGTTTAAGGCCGATGGCTTTGGCTTTGTAAGTCAAAATGCATCAGTATAATTATTAGGGTTTTGGAAGTGTTTTTTTTTTTTAACTCTTCATGTTTGTTTTTTCTTTTTCTTGGGCAGGCTTTTCCATTGGGATCTCCGTTGGTGCCAGATATATCAAGACAGATCTTGAACATAACAGAGGGAAAGACCTTGACGGCTATTGAGAACAAGTGGTTGGTTGGAGAAAAGCATTGTCTGGAGTCGACCACGTCGGATTCTCCGATCAGGCTCGATCACCACAGCTTTCACGCTTTGTTTCTAATCGTCTTTGTTGTCTCTCTGCTTCTACTCTTGCTCATGCTGATTTATAGAAGGTACCGAGAAATACCAGGCGACGGAGATGGTCAAAACCGTGGCGATGATCCTGACGGCCAAGCCAACGCACGAGATGCCCAAAACCGTGGCGAGGAAGTCAATGATGGAGCAGATAATAGTGTGCATCATATTGTGGAAGTTGATAAAGAAGGCAGTGCTGGAGGTGGAGATGAAGAAGATCATATGATGGGAGTCGATGCAGAAGGTCATGTTGGAGGTGGAGATGAAGCAGATGATATTGTTGAAGTCAATGAACAAGGTAATGTTGGAGGTGGAGGTGGAAATGAAGCAGATGAAATTGTGGAAGTCAATGAACAAGGTAATGTTGGAGATGGAGATGAAGCAATCGTGAAAGTCACCGAACTAGTGCAACTACGAAGGAAACAGTCGCCAGCAAGCTTACTGCGCCGTCGTAGTAACAAACACATCCCTGTCGAGGTTGAATAAGGCACAGTTAAACCTTAAACCAGTCTTCAATTCGGGTTTCGAAGTGATCATCTTAAAAGTAAAAAAAAAAGAAGAAGGCAAGAGCCCTAAATCATCCTCAAGACTAAATCCTGTGATCTTAAAACATAATAATCTCTTGTACAAAAAACTGGACGGTGTTTAGCGAAGACTTGAAAAGTAACTTGATCTCTGTTCTTTCTTAAAAGAGTTACACAAACGGTCTAACATATAGAAAGCTTGTCCTCGAAGAGAAAGGGATGATAGTTGCAAAGCTCCATGAGCTGCACCAAACCACCTACAGCGTTGTAATCCAAAAGGTATCTTCCTGAGAGACGAAGCTGCTTCAAGACGGCACTGAAGAACACAGATTAAGAAGAAGAAGCAAAATCAGTGACAAAACCAAGCTTTTAAACAGTTGATCAAAGGTATCACACTTACTGTAAGTCGAAGTATCAATCTGCTCAGGAAGCTCCTTTATATCAACCTCAAACCTCTCTTGTACCTACAAACAATTGAAATTACAGCTTTATCAAATGCTCCCACACATATCAACTCGAAGCTGGACGAATTTATGAAAAAAATTAAACTCCAGACCTGATTAAGAACATCGGAATCCGAAGCTGATGCAACAAATGTAATTGCAAGACCCTTGGTTCCAAACCTACCAGCCCTCCCAACCTATTATTAAACCAGTGTGTGACAGTAATGTTAAAAGAGTCCTTAAACTCGATGAGTATCAATAATAATCTCAGTAAGATCAAAAGAAATTCATAAATGAGAAAACTTACCCTGTGAAGGTATGTATCAGCAGAATCAGGCATGTCGTAGTTGATGACAATGTTGACACGCTCTATGTCAATGCCTCTTCCTACCAAGTCTGTCGCCACCAGAATTCTCTTGTGCCCTTCCTTGAAACTCTTGTAGCGAGTCAACCTATCAAACATAGCATATCAGGATCCAGAGTTGGTATGCATGCAGAGCATGTATGGGGTCGGATCAGAAGCATAATGTTTAAGAAATATACAAACCTCTCTTCTTGAGACATGCCAGAGTGAATACATATTGAGGGGAAATTGCATTCAACCAGCAACTTGTTCAGCTCCCCGGCTCTGCTCACGCTCTTCACGAAGATGACAACTTGATTGAAGTCCAATGCATCAAGAAGGTCATTTAACTTGCGGTTTTTCTCCATCTCGTTCAGTTTGATGTAGTGCTGTTGCAGTAGAACAGATTAATACTCTGTCGATAAGTATCAAATATACAAATACGAGAAATAAGAACTCAGAGGTTACCTGGACAAGCCCATGAAGAGTCAACTTGGCTTCATCATCAACATATATTTCCATTGGCTGAAAGGAATAGATATCAGAGTAAAGTGTATTAGCAAGCCTTCCTCAGGCAATGATTTCCACAACAAAAATGACGACGGATGAAGGACCCCCGAACTGAGATCCTCGTCCACCAGATTTGCCTCCTCAAAGATGTGAGTTTTGCAATGAATTATCAAGATTGCTCGGAACATTAAGGCCTATAAAACTGAGCAAAATGAAACCTTGACACCTCACAAAGCCCCGACTCAGAAACCCACCCAGTACTGTTAGCATTGCAGATAAGTAGAAAAAGTAAAAGAAAATGATGATAGAAGATCCCACTGGCAAAGACATAGTGACATCTTCAGAATCTCCAAATTCTCAAAACCCCCAACAAACTACCCAAGGCATTACTGGACTGAGACTCTGCGTCCAGTGATCAAATGGCAGGGGCTGAGAGTGCTCAAATAAACCTATGATCTTCGAGGGAAGGCTAGAAATAATTCAAAACTATAGGACTTGCAAAGGGAGATAGGATTGGCCGTAGGACATTACATCTTGCATAAATTTCTTGCAGACTGGGCGTATCTCTTTGCTGAGAGTTGCTGAGAACATCATGACTTGCTTGTCGTGAGGAGTCATCTTGAAAATCTCTTGCACATCTTTCCGCATGTCTGACAAAGAAAAGTTAGAGATGTTAATACATAATATTTTTCAGGGATAGGTAGGATATCTTATTCAAAAGGATGTCAGAAATCAGCATACCAAGCGACTCAAGCATCTTGTCACACTCATCAAGAATGAAATGCCTCACATTCTTCAAAGAGAGATCTTTGTCCCTGGCTAGTGCAAGCACCCGCCCAGGTGTCCCGACAACAATGTGAGGACATTCATTCTTTAGCATATCTTTGTGACCTTTAATGTTTACTCCTCCATAAAACACTGCAACCTTCGTATCTGGCAGGTAGGTACTGAATCTCACGAACTCATTGCAAATCTGCAAACAATTTTCGGCATCAAGGTGAAATAAGAATGAGACAAGTTGTGGAAGGGAGACAAAACTATAAGAAGCTAAGAAGAAGGGTGAAAAAAAAAGAACGTACCTGGTAAGCTAACTCTCTTGTATGGCACAAGATAAGTGCGGAAACTTGGCCAGGAGATGGTTCAATCTGTTGAAGAGTCGAAAGCACAAACACAGCAGTCTTCCCCATACCAGATTTTGCTTGGCAAATAACATCCATGCCCAGAATAGCTTGAGGGATACATTCATGTTGCACTGGTGGAGAACGAAAGAAAATTGGAGCGAAGGAACCCTTTGTAAGTAGAATATAACCTCCATATCTTTAAAATTGGTGGCTTTACCAAATGCTAAGCTCACTCCAAATCAATAGTTTGAGAAATCGTTCATTACCTGGAAAAAGTAAGCAGTGGATTGTCAGTGGACATAGCAATCATAACAAACAAAAGAATTCTCTAGCCACATAGTCATCAGAATATTCAATTTGAACAACAAATGACCAACTGTAGACTGCCCGACACATCAAATAGAACAAAGGAGGACAAATTGTATAGGTTTAGCTATATCAAGTCACCACTATATAATGTAAGGCCGTAAAAACAAATCAGGATGAGATCTCAGGAACAAGGGGAGGAGTGAATTGTACTTGCCTTCAGATGGATGTTCAAATCCTGAATCAACAATAGCTCGGAGAAGCTCCGGTTTCAAAAGGAAGTCTCTGAATCCAGAACTGTGTATTCCCACGTAACCTCTGAATACATAAGAAATCACAGTATGAGAAGAGAATTACAAATAAATATGAATTCTCCAGGAATTTTCACGGATTGAAGAACTAATAGGCTAGCGACTAACGAAATCTACACAGCTAACAAGCACTACTCTCAGAACACCCTTTAATCCAAACAATTAGTGTTTCATGAAACAGATCTACAAGTAAAAAACTCACTTTTTCACGGCTTCACCGTTAACTTTACTTCCAGAATCTGGGACCTTCTCTTCCTCGTCCTCATAGTCGAGAAGCTCCTCCTCGTATGCTTCGTTGTCTCTAGCGTCTCCCATACTTGACAAGTTCTACAAACAGAAGAAAAATCTATGTTTAATGCTCTGTAACAGTCCTAAGCGTGTAAACTCGATGAGAATCTGCGAAATCTGATGGATTGAGAGCGAGAACATACCTGAGAACTGAGCAGAGTTGATTGGATCGCGAAATCGGATTTAGGGATTCGAAATCTCTGAATGTGCAAACAAAAAAGAAATGAAAATATCTGAGCTACCCGTAGACTCCAAAAGAAAGAGATCTACTGAAACTGGATTGACTTCAACTGGGCTTTGTTTTAATGGGCCTAGGATTTACTGGGTTGGCCGAGTAATATAAAGCCCATTATATATTTAATGTCAAACCCTATCTAGTCTCTCTCTATATAATATCTCTCGGCACACCTACCCGACGTCGGCTTTTAATTTTCTTCAATCAGTTACATCGAAACCCTAATCGATTTCGAGATCCAACCAGCTCAGAGCTTATCTCAGGTAAATTTATCGCTCAAAGTTCATCGCATCGTACTGTTTCTTAGTAATTTCGTCGAGCTTACACTGTTATGAGCTCGGGAGCTGCTATTGCTTAGAATTATCGAAGGTTTAGATTGAAGATTGTATCTTACTGAATTCTTAGGTTGCTGTTTCGGATTAGCAAATTTAATTCGTAGTTTCTCTGCAGTTTGTAGAATTTGTGAAGTATGGGAGACGCTAGAGAAAACGAAGCTTATGAGGAGGAGCTCCTAGACTATGAGGACGAGGAAGAGAAGATCCCAGATTCCGGAAACAAAGTTAACGGCGAAGCCGTGAAAAAGTGAGTTTATGGTTTCATGATACGCTAGGTGTTTAGATTTGTTTTTACATATTGGTTCAGATTCTAGTTAATATCAGTAGAGATTTACTAGTCTCTAACCTTTCAGAGTAGCAATTTTTGCAGTTCCTGAAAATAATATGAATCTGTCGTCTATAATTCTCATCTTATATTCTCTTTTTGTCAGGGGTTATGTGGGAATTCACAGTTCTGGATTCAGAGACTTCCTGTTGAAACCGGAGCTTCTCCGAGCCATTGTTGACTCAGGATTTGAACATCCGTCTGAAGGCAAGTTCAATTCAATATTTCAGAATTCTGTATTTCCAATTTTCTTGCACCATTTTTGGAATGATATAAATCTACAGTAATTACTCTCTAGGAGCTATTTTAAGCCGTCCTGCAGAATTTAATTTTATACTGCATAATCTGGTTTGGCGAAGTTATGTTGTTTTCTTTACTCTGTACCTATCCTGCTCCTTTGCTTACCGCCTAACAAAGTTCGAGAAGATACGCTGTTATAAGATAACTTACCAAGTCTAGTTTCGAATGATTGTTTTGATCATGCTCTAAGGTTCTTTTTACAATTCCCAGTTTAATTGTTTTGTGTTGTCCATTAACATTTTCGTGATTGCTTTTTCCAGGTAATAACGCTATTTCAATATATTGATTTGGAGTGGGCTTAGCATGTGGTAAAGCCACCAATTTTAAAGATATGGAGGTTATATTCAACTGATAAAGGGTTCCTTCGCTGCAATTTTCTTTGGTTCTCCACCAGTTCAACATGAATGCATCCCACAAGCTATCTTGGGCATGGATGTTATCTGCCAAGCAAAATCTGGTATGGGGAAGACTGCTGTGTTTGTGCTTTCGACTCTTCAACAGATCGAACCATCTCCTGGCCAGGTTTCCGCACTCATCTTGTGCCATACAAGAGAGTTAGCTTACCAGGTACGTATTTTTTTGTTTCACACATCTTCTTAGCTTCTAATACCTCTGTCTACCTTCCACAACTTGTCTCATTCTTATTTCACCTTGATGCCGAAAATTCTTTGCAGATCTGCAATGAGTTCGTGCGATTCAGTACATATCTGCCAGATACTAAGGTTGCAGTATTTTATGGAGGAGTACACATTAAAACTCACAAAGATATGCTGAAGAATGAATGTCCTCACATTGTTGTCGGGACACCTGGGCGGGTTCTTGCCCTAGCCAGGGACAAAGATCTCTCTTTGAAGAATGTGAGGCATTTCATTCTTGATGAGTGTGACAAGATGCTTGAGTCGCTCGGTATGATGATTTCTGACATCCTTTATATGTAGATATTCCGACCTATCCCTGAAAAATATTATGTATTAATATCTGCAACTTTTCTTTGTCAGACATGCGGAAAGATGTGCAAGAGATTTTCAAGATGACTCCTCACGACAAACAAGTCATGATGTTCTCTGCAACTCTCAGCAAAGAGATACGCCCAGTCTGCAAGAAATTTATGCAAGATGTAATGTCCTACGGTCAATCCTATCTCCCTTTGCAAGTCATGTAGTTTTGAATTATTGCTGGGCTTCCCTTGAAGATCATAGGTTTATTTGAGCACCTTCAGCCTTTGGAAACCTGCCATTTGATCCCTGGACGCAGGGTTTCTCTACAATAATCACTAGGATAGTTTGTTGGGGGGGGGGTTTGAAGAATTGGGAGGTTCTGAAGATGTCACGTAGCTATGGTGTGGTTCAGTGATATTTTTTCGTAGGGGGATCTTCTATCATCGTTCTCCTTTCTCCTTCTGTTTATTTGCAATGTTAATTGTGCTGGGTGGGTTGAGTTGGGGCTTTGTGAGCTGTCAAGCTTTCATCGTACTCAAGTTCTAGTGCTGGGTGGGTTGAGTTGGGGCTTTGTGAGGTGTCAAGGTTTCATCGTACTCAAGTTCTATGGACCTTATCTATTGCAAAGCTGACATCTTAATGAGGCAAACCTGATGGACGAGGATCTCAGTTCGTGGGTCATTCATCTGTCGTCATTTATGTTGTGGAAATCATTGCCTGAAGAAGTCTAGCTAATACACTTTACTCTGATATATGTTTGCTTTCAGCCAATGGAAATATACGTTGATGATGAAGCCAAGTTGACTCTTCATGGTCTTGTCCAGGTACTTAAACTGAGGAAGCTTTTTTCTGATGTGGCTGATATTTGATACCTTATTGACTGACTTTGTATATGTTCCACTGTAACAGCACTACATCAAATTGAACGAGATGGAGAAAAACCGCAAGTTGAATGACCTTCTTGATGCATTGGACTTCAATCAAGTTGTCATCTTCGTGAAGAGCGTGAGCAGAGCCGGGGAGCTGAACAAGTTGCTGGTTGAATGCAACTTCCCCTCAATATGCATCCACTCTGGCATGTCCCAAGAAGAGAGGTTTGTATATTTCTTAAAACTTATCCTTCTGATCCGACCCCATACATGCTCTGCATGCATACCAACTCTGGATCCTGATATGCTATGTTTGATAGGTTGACTCGCTACAAGAGTTTCAAGGAAGGGCACAAGAGAATTCTGGTGGCCACAGACTTGGTAGGAAGAGGCATTGACATTGAGCGTGTCAACATTGTCATCAACTACGACATGCCTGATTCTGCTGATACTTACCTTCACAGGGTAAGTTTTCTCATTTATGAGTCTCTTATTCTTATAGAGATTATTGTTGATCCTCATTGAGTTTATTATTGATTCCCATTGGGTTTAAGGACTCTTTTAACATTACTGTCACACTGGTTTTTGTTACAGGTTGGGAGAGCTGGTAGGTTTGGAACCAAGGGTCTTGCAATTACATTTGTTGCATCAGCTTCGGATTCCGATGTTCTTAATCAGGTTTGTAGTAAACTCTTTTTTTGATATCTGTCTGGGGAGAGTTGTTTTGATAGTAGAGTTGTGTATTTAAGAAAATTGCAATTTCAATTGTTTATAGGTACAAGAGAGGTTTGAGGTCGATATTAAGGAGCTTCCTGAGCAGATTGATACTTCCACATACAGTAAGTGATTATTCCTTGTACCTATTGTGTGCATAATCTTTGTTTTTGTCTGGTTTCTGATGTTCTTTTTCTTCTTCGTGCTTGTGCAGTGCCCTCTTAAAATAGCTCAGATTTACAACTGTGTTGGTGGTGTGGAAAAAGGGTCATGGAGGTCTGCTGCAGTTATCCCCTCGCCTTGGTGTTTTAGCCTCTTTTGTTATGAGAATTAGACAGTTTGTAACGCTTAAAGAGAGATGGAGAGAGATTCTTAGATTTTGCTGTCTCATCTTAAATTCGTCAGCTTTGTGTTCAAGCGAATATGTTGCTTTTAATGATTCAGGCTTTTGACTTGTTTTATTCTTGTGTAACTTGAGTTCGGTAGTTTGAAAGTAGTACTTTTATAATTGTTCGTATTTCTTGGAGTTGAAATCAAATCTGCCTTCACGTTTACTGAGACTAAACATGGTCGTTATTCGTTATGTCTATTGGCTTCCACATTCGTTATTGATTCCGACTATAAATTTATTTGAAGGATCACTGAAATTTATGAGAAGTTTGTCTAGTAACGTACCTATCAAATCATAACGAAGCTGAAATCGTTCCTCTACAAATTATTTAAAAAGAGGCAAATAAAAGTTTAATAAGTTTTGTATGATTATTGATTATATAAAAGTAAATCTATCAAGTTGGACACAAGATTTGGGGATATATCCTCGAAGTTGTCATAATATTGTTTTTCGATTTCTGGGCTCGGTTTTGTTTATGTTGTCGATAAGCTCTGTGGTGGGTTTCTCGGTACGAGGTTCATTTACCTTTGGAGTATTTGAACATAAATAGAGGACATGCTTAAAGTGCTTTTCAACATAATACTATAATAGAGGACATACTCTCTATAATTAATCAGTCATAGATTGATGTACTTTTCAACATGAGAGATACGTATCTAGAACACGATGTCAGGAGAGAAGTATTTGTTGTTTAAGCTATCAGCAATATACGTCAAGAGTAAAAGAGGCAAACCAGTTAGAGCACAAAGGCTAATCCCATTATAGTAAAAGAACTGGTGTGATTAGGCTGTATCCTCTTAATAATGAATAGATAAGCTGATGAGCATTACAAGATTACAAATACTATATTTTTGCTGAGAAGATATACTAAATATATCTAAACTATAGATTTATATCGTAAGCTGAATTCAAAACTAGTTCCCGTACCATACCATACACCAAAAATAAATTATGAAATAGTTAGCATGTCCCACTCAGAATTTAGGCGCATAATGGCTCTTTGCTGATGATAGTATTAATTTTGATGATTTGATGCCTTGTACTTGAGTACTTTACCGACGCTTTGGATTCACATAAAAACCAGTACTACTAATTAATTGTTATATACGCAATCTCATAAAAACCAGTACACACACAGTAGCCTAGTGTAGGAGACAAAAGTATATGCACCTACGAAGAGATATTTAAGGAAAAAAGGAGATGACTAAATTTAAACTAATTCTGTTAGCATTAGAAATTACAGTTAGCAAAACATGTACTAACTTTTATCTTTATAATAAATGTTTAATAAAGACGTTTTTTAAGTTATGGAGGAGACAAGACACGAAACATGGAATGTGAACTAGTTTGAGGAGAATGGTACTTCTTTTTATAGAAATGGTTTCCTGCAGGCAAGAGTGTCGAATCTCTTGTATCTTTATAGGTCTTTCGTTGGAGAGTCTAGAGAGAGATAGAGTGAGAGAGACTTAAAAAAAAGAAGTAAAAAGGCAAAGATTCTCTCGAAGATCCATAAGATTTTCTTTTCTTCTTCGGATCTTCTCCACTCCTCTTTAAGACTACCTATGTCTATGTGATGGTGATTTTATTGCGTTACATAAATCCTGTGTGCCAACCGAGTTCGCGCGTGCGATACACTCTACACGCGCTCTCTCTCTCTCTCTCTGATAAATATTAAATGCTCTCTCACCCACTTTCTCTACAACTGGTGGTGAACAGAGGAACAGAGCGAGACAGAGACACGCAGTGAGAGAGAGGATCTGATCTCATTTCATTTCCTCGTTTCCTTCTTCTGCGAGGGAAATTCAATTGTTTTCTACTTTGAATTCTCTCATTTACTCATAGAGAGAGAGAGAGAGAGATTAATATACATGTGAGACGCTCCTTGACTGTCCAAGATTTTTCAAAACAAGAGAGAGTAGAGAGAGAGAGAGAAACAATGTTTGCGGCGGAGAATGGTCTGAAAGGAGATCCAAGGCTGGAAGCTATATCGGCAGCCATCAGAGTGGTTCCTAATTTCCCTAAGAAAGGTCTTACAACTTGCTCCTCTGTTTTCCTCTTCATACACTTAGATGATACTCTGTTTCTGTTTTGTATTTGCTCTGTTTTTTGCTCAATTCTCTGAATATGTAGAATATGTTCCTTTTTCTCGGACAGGAATTATGTTTCAGGACATAACAACGTTGCTGCTGGATCACAAGGCGTTTAAACATACAATTGATATCTTCGTGGATCGCTACAAAGACATGCAAATCTCTGTCGTTGCTGGTAAAAACCCTCTGTTTTTCTTCCTTATCCTCTCTTTTCTTTTCTACAGTGTTTCGTCATCAAGTTTATTAAGTAATGCCAAAAAATATTCGGTCTCTTTAAATGGCTTACCTCATAAAGCAACAAAGTCTTAAAAAGGTCATAGAGAAATTCAATTCTTCTTAACAAGCAAATGTGTCTGTATATGTATAGGTGTGGAAGCAAGAGGTTTCATGTTCGGTCCTTCCATTGCCTTAGCCATAGGCGCAAAGTTTGTCCCTTTGCGTAAACCAGGAAAATTACCAGGTAAACAGTAACATTTTCATTTCATTCTTTGTTTTATTTTTCAGTGACTTGACGCTTGAGATTCTGAAAAAGGCAAACTTGTGAATATAGGGAAAGTGATATCGGAGTCTTATGAGCTCGAGTACGGACATGACCGTTTAGAGATGCACGTGGACGCTGTTCAGTCACGAGAACGCGTCATTATTATCGACGATCTCGTCGCTACCGGGGGCACACTCTCTGCTGCCATTAGTCTTATGGGTTATTCACTTTTCCTGTTTTCTTTGATTTATAATGAGAGTTATCTTGATTTGTTATGTGACAAGTTTTTCTTTTCTTTTTAAACATTTTGACGTTTTATAGAAAGCGAGGGAGCTGAGGTTGTGGAGTGTGCTTGTGTTATTGGCTTGCCTGAAGTTAAGGTCAGTAACTATACTTCTTACTTGTTACAGAAGTTATCTCTGGCTTGTTCTTTAGAAAGGATGTAGTGAGTAGTGACAGAGTTGATTTTGGTTCGGTTTAGGAATGTAATCTCAACTGAAAGTTCCACATTCTGCATTGATATAGGGCCAACACAAGCTGAAAGGAAAGCCTCTCTACGTACTGGTGGAGCCAAGTGGGTTAGATGATTTCTGTTAGATGCACCTCGGTTATTTTCGGTTCGGATTTTTCTTCTTCTGCAGAGTTCTTCTTTAAAATTTAGGGTTGCGTCTTCTTGTATTCGTTCTCTCTTCTTGTTTTTTTTTTCTCAGTAGATTTTTGGATTTTGCTGTTTGTGTACCTTCCAGTGGAAATTGAAATTGAAAAACGTCTTTGCATGGCCGGTTTGGTGAACCGCTTTTGGTTGGTTTGATTTGCTGATGATGTATGATGTATCATTAAGACACTAACCTATCTTAATCAATTTTCTAATGACTGCAATGATTAAACAAGGTAAGAAGATACGTTCCTAATTTCATGCGTGAAATCTGCAAAAGTACTAGTAGTAGGTTCACTAGATTTAATGCGGCTAGTTATTACTGCTTTTGGAACTATGAAAAAAGTTGGTTGGTATTCTACGACACACTATTCATTACTGCAGACACTATTGGTCCAACTATTTTGGCCTCAATATTGCTCCCACGGAAGTTGGTTTATAACAGAAAAGTATATCAAAATAAATAAAAGATTCTAATAGAGCAACTCTATAACAGAGAAAAACGTTCTTTGTCGCACTACACAAGTCTTCTTCTCCACAACCATTAGCATTTGTACAGTTTTGTGATAATAAAAACTGAAACCCATAACCGAAAATTATCCGCTAATACACACTCACAATGCGGTTTAGTCCCACTTAGTTGGGCTTAATTTATGATTGGGCCGTGTGCGCGAATATTCAAGTTAATATAAGTCCAAGACGTTAGATTCAGGCCAGATATTTGTTGCGCTTCATTTTGTCTTTTTCAAAATTCAAAACTCAAAAGTCATCTTTCACTGTAAAGCGGGCTTCGGATAAAATTCAATTTAATAGGGTTCCTCAAAATTATTGTAGAAGAGTTTAATTCGATGTACGGAGATCCTTAATTGCGAGTCGGTGTTGAACGATTCTCTGATTTGATACTCCAATCAATCAGTGTTTGGGTGTTTTTTTCTGGTGAGCGATTTGGTTCGTCCTTGTGGTTGAGATCTGAGGTTTCTCTGGAATCATCGGAGTGAGCTGAGCTGAGCTGGATAGAGTTGCCGGAGTAGATGGCGATCTTATATGCCTTGGTGGCTCGTGGAACGGTGGTGTTAGCGGAGCTAAGCGCGACTTCGACCAACGCGAACTCAATCGCCAAGCAGATTCTGGAGAAGCTACCCGGATCCGATGACGATAGCCACATGTCCTATTCTCAGGATCGGTTCGTCTTCCACGTAAACCGAACCGATGGCCTTACCGTCCTCTGTATGGCCGATGAAAACGCCGGAAGTAAGTCTCGCCCCAATTTTGAATTTTTTACATGATTTGGCTCTTGTTTTCAATTTCTTTGATTTCTGCTGCTGTGGTCTTATCACACTATCAATTTTGCTTGTTGTTTGGTTTCGGTTTGGCGAAATCTCAATTCTGGGGATTTTGGTAGCTAAAATATCTGCTTTTTGTGTTTGAATTTGCTTGATTTTTAGTGTTATGAAGGAATTGTGGGTTTACTAATGCCTAACCTTATGGATTATCATTGGTGATACTATTAGAAGAAAGAAAATGTTTGTTTTTGGGAAAGCATTTTGTTGATAGGACTTGCTTGGTGTTTTCAGCATATAGTGGATAAGAAATGGTATGTTTCTAACACCTTTAAACTCCACAGGGAGTGTTCCGTTTGCGTTTCTGGATGAGATTCATCAGAGATTTGTGAGAACATATGGCCGCGCGATTCATTCGGCTCAAGCTTACTCAATGAATGATGAGTTTTCAAGAGTTTTGAGCCAGCAAATGGAGTACTATTCAAACGATCCAAATGCAGACAGGATCAGCAGAATCAAAGGTGAAATGAGTCAGGTAAAGTTTGCAAAACCATCTCTCTTTTTAACTTTGTGCTGTAGAATAGTAATACCTGACACATAACTTTTGCTCTTGCGTTTTCGTTTTCATGTTCAGGTTAGAAACGTGATGATTGAGAATATCGACAAAGTGTTGGACAGAGGGGAGCGTTTGGAGTTGCTAGTTGATAAAACCGAAAACATGCAAGGCAACACTTTTCGCTTCAGAAAGCAAGCTCGCCGTTTCAGAAGCGTCATGTGGTGGAGAAATTTCAAGCTTACGTATGTCTTTTTACACTTGATTCGAGACAAACCTAACAATTGTTTGAAAAAGATAGATCTTTTCTAATCTTGTTGGTTGTTGTTCTCTGCTCGTGAATCTTGTTTTTCTGCAGGATTGCTCTGATAGTAGTACTCTCACTGGTTGTATACATCGCGATGGCCTTTGTTTGCCACGGGCCAAATCTTCCTAAATGTTTCAAGTAAGAACACAATCTCTTATTGTCACCTTTCCCTTCGTGGGAATTCATCAGACTCTGCTTCAATTTTGTAATCTTATATCATTATTTACAAAGTGTGATATTTCCTTGTTAATATCATCACTTTTCTGTCTGTTTGCAATCCTATATATAAGCACCAATTTTGCGTATGTGTATTATATATAAAAGAGTATAACAAATATGTATAGTTAACTATGAAAGAGGGATTCGAACATTAAGCCTCCGTAACCAAATGGAATGCATAATCATGTGCAACATATCAAATGGCTTCGATGGTCTGTTTACCACAAAGTGTTTTCGAACCTTAAGCACACCCCTCTGCATCTTCAAGTACTCTTCTTCCGAGATCGCTTCGATGATCTTCTTTATCTCCGGAATCTTGGATATCGGAATATGAACAGAGAAGCTCTTCCAGTTCAACACGTCGCTAAACGGAAGAACGTAAGCATCTGCGATGATGACCGGAACGCAGCCAGAGTACAGAGACTCCACGATTCTTGGACTCGCCACTTCCCAGCCGCTTGGACATAGACAAAACTTTGCCTTGTCCATCATTTTGGTGTAGTTCATGGTTTTGGGGAGATTCTCGTAGACGAGGACATCTTTATCTTTTTCTTTCCAGTGTTCGAAAAGTATTTTCCGGACTTCTCCGTGGGAACCGCCGGCGAAGAAGGCTAAGAGTTTTCGGTTCTCAGGCGGCTCTCCATTGTGTACAAACCCTAATTGGCCGTATTGAATGTTGATTTCCGGTAATGAAACGTCTCTCATGGGAGCGAATCCCTCGGAGGCATTGGCATTGCAGAGCGCTCTGATGAAATGCTTGTATAGTTCTGGATCCACCGCTGAAACATCGGGTGCCTTGAAGAACAATGAACAAAGAGGAAAGTTAGGTCTAGGGCTTTTCCCAGTTAACTTGGGAAACAAGAAACGTGTATAAGTTAAAGAGAGACTCACCCAGTCATGACAGGAGAGGAAGAAATGGTCAGCACCGCGACTACGATTCCAATAAGGGTAACGGTTAGAGACGAGAGAGATGTAGTCTTTGACAATGTTTTGGAGACGGTCACGGGCATAGCTAGTGTAAGGTCTATAGACAAAACGTATGATATTGACGATCCCTACAGGGATGTAGAACACGGTGGCTTCCTCCGGTGAAGCAGCCGAGAAACGGCTTTTTCCGTTCTCGATCTCGTCCATGAATTGGCCTTCAATGGCGTAAATATTGTTGAGAGGACCTTTGTGAAACAGAGGAGGTTCTCCTTCTCTATATGTCCATATCTTGAATCTCTTCTCCATCTCTCTGTGGCTCCTGTTTATCATTATGTGAAACAAAAACAAAATTAAAAACATTGCATATGCATAACTCTCTATGCGTTATATACATTATATCTATAAATGGTGTCTAATGGAGAGAGAGAATTAAAGACAGAAAGAACTTTTCAAATTTGGAAACTGCAAAATAGTAGTGTGTAGGCTACTAAAAATGGAAACTTGCATAGAATTTTGACGTTGACACATATTTCTATTAAAGGGTAAGTACATATTCTAATGAGTACCTACTTGTCAGCTACATATTTATTTAAAACTTCACCTTTTTATCAAGCCTAACATTTCTTTAACCTAACTAAAAAAGGCTAAGTAACTCAAACCAACAATGTATATTTTCATAATTGCATATGCATCTACTTAACTAAAAACTAGGAATAGAAACAGAGAAGGAGATAAGCAAAAATAGGAAAGAGAGAAAGAAAAGGTCTTAACTGATGAAAAGTAAAAGCATTGAGATAGACAGATCCATTTGATACGAATCCCATATCCGAATTGTTCCTCCGATCACGACGACGACGGAGATTCTCTTCTCTGGCTTTCTTTATGGAGGCTCTCGCCATCGCCAAACCTTCTTCGATTCTCTCCACCGCTTCATCAACTTCTTCTACCACCGCAACTTCTTCTGACGTCTGTGTTCAATTTAAAAAAACATTAAACAATTTTTTTAAAAATTATCTAACAACTCTTAGCTCTAATACCACAAAACTTTAAAGAAACTAAACTTATACATCAAGAAATTAAAAGAAGAAGCAAGTACATTGTTGAGAGCGGGGAGACAAGAAGAACGAAAAGGGAGGAATCTGAATGGAGAGAAAACAGCTTCTTGAGAAGAAGAAGAGGAGAGAGAGAGACGACAAGAAGGATCATCATCGACGACGGAGGAGAAAAATCGGTTATGGTGATTAATGGAGTAGAAGAAGAGGATGATGACGAGTGATGGATAAAGCAGAAACGGCGTCGTACAAGTGAAATCCGCCATTAATTAGTATCTTCTTCTTTAGGGGGTAAACGGGATCTGTAATCGGATTAAATCAGGGTTTGCTTTTATTTTTTACGTACAGAAGAGGAAGAAGAAGAAGAATAAGTCAAGTAAAAAGATGAATATGAGTATTTTAGGGTTGTTTTCTTTGTTTCTTCTCTCTCAGGTTTGAAGAGAAGAGGTTTATTATTCTCTCTTTTTTTAATCTCTTGTATTTATATGTGTGATTACTATTTGACCGTCTAATCCGGCAAGGTTTCGGTCTTCCTGGGTTAACAAGTGCACTAATTCAGCTACGTTATTATTCTTTTGGTCAATGACATTCAAAAACGTGACTCTCCTGTTGTTTGTTTTGGTATGGTTTAGGTTGGATTTTGGTTCGGTTCTCTAACAACAAAATATTTTGTTGTTTTTTTTCCTTTTAATTTTGCTTTCAAGATATTGACTTAAATATTTGTAGCATTTATCCAAATAAAAATAATAAAATGACATCATAAACTACATTCAGTTCAATTCTCTCGACGTGTATTGGTTCGATTGACATCACTAGACACTCGATCGAGATTACAGAAGATTTGTACGTTTTAATTCTGTATGTTAACAAATCAGATTTCATGAGTCGAGACGTATAATTGATGTACTTCGTATATTCGTAATGAGGAAAATCTTTAAAACAGTACGTTGCATGTGATTATTTTTCTCTCTCAATATATTTTCCAAAGCAAACAAGCAAATAGATAAGCTCATAAGCATCCGATATGACGTTGCTTTTTAGTTAGTTGTAGTTTCAGATTCTGGAACCATTTTTTTTACTATCATTATTCCTTTTAGGCTGTGACTAAAGAATTTTATAGAGTAAAAGTAGAAGCAAACAAAAATATCTTGAGTAAAACCTTCCCTTCCATTATCTAAAGTGAAACATCATTACTCTACCTTTTCAATATTTCTTCCTTTAAATCAAAAAAATATTTCCATAAAAATTCTACCCTTTTTCTGTTCTCCAACAATATTTCTCACCTTGTCTTGGTTTTTTCTTCTTCTAATTTTTCCAAAAAATCATCACAAAAATCAAACACAAAAATTAGTATTTCATTCCATATTAATTGGCATGCTGTGTTGTTTATCTACATCCTGATCATCCCAAAGAGTAACGTCAATCAACATCATAACAAAAAAAACCTGTTTTATCGCATATTAGTACAACAAAAAACTTGTTTTATTGGGAAAAAAGAAAGAAAAGAGCATCAATGCTTGAGGAGATTGATCCCAAGCTTCTCTAGAGCGGCCTTGATGGCGTCACGGCTACATTCTTCAGCTTCAGTAATATTGGGACTATTGACTGGAATCACATCTTCCATGGAGTAGCTTCTGTTGCCGTGTAGCTGACGCAAGTCACTGGCTACGCCTTTGAGTATGACTGTTTTGTGAATTCCTCCAAGCAAGCCTTCGTAATCTGTGTCACCTGATTCTCCCACGAACACCACCATGTTCGACAAGTCAATGCTCCATCGCACTAGCAAATACCTGAAAAACAGACGAACACATGTGTTTGATGTGTATCCAAACTTCGAAACAGAGAAGCGATTGATGTGTATGATCAAAACTTACCTAAGGGCCTGAGATCGTGAGGCAAGAACAGGGATTACGTTTAGCCTAGCTCCGCTTTGGCAGTAAACTACATTGCAACGCAATGCTTGGATTCTCATTAGTTTCCTCAGCTCCTTCATTGGAGGCATCTGCAGAGATTTCATTGAATCAAGAGATATTAGAAGGTTATAGGAAAAAAAATTAAAAACCAAAATTGAGTAAAGAGTGTATTTACCGAAGCAGAATCTTTCACTTTGAAGGATAAGCAATAGTTGGTAGAAGAAGACTCATCTTCAGATAGAATCTCTCCTTCTTTGAGCTTCTTCTTCTCTTCAACAGAAGTAATCCAGCGGATCAAAGTCTTGCTCAAGTTCTCTCCACCCCATCGGAATTCTATATGCGAATGGTAATCTGCATCGAGTGTGTAAGGAAGCACGGTTTTATCCTCAGAAGCAGCAGAGGACGTGAAGTAGAGCTCACTCCCACTGTTGCAGATAACAGCATCAAAGTCTTGTGGTTTCAACCCTCCTGAGAGCAATGTGTTGTGAGTCTCAGATATAGTCATCGAAGTTGAGAGTATGAATCCTATTGAGCCGCCTTTTCCTGCAACATCGATAACTGTTTTCACCACCGCGAGAAGATCGGAGGTTGTGCCGCAGTCCACTGAGATGACAAATATATGTTTCCTTCTTTTCAAAGTCGGCATCTTCAAGTCAGGTTTCATTGTTGGTGTGCTCTTCTGCGCCATTGTTGAAACAGCTTTCTCTATCTCAGATTTTCGTTCAGCGGCAATTTCGTCAGCGTCTAGAATAGTAGTATCTAAACCATTGTTACTTCCACTTCCACCCTTATCGCCATCCAAGGGAATTTTGAGGTTCAAGGAGATGTCATGTAGATTTCTAAGGGAGTCACTGGGTGAATCAGAGTCTGAGTTATCAAACTCAACTCTCTGCCATTTAGGATGTCTTTGCTTGCATGTAGCTATCCGGGCCAGGTATGTTTTGCAATGCTCTGGCCATGAAAACCGGTGGATGTTGTCTAGGCCGTTTTGTCTGCATCTTGCCCAAAGGTTTTTGTCTGAAACCAGTTTCAGGAGAGCATCAGCTATAGCTTGCTGATTATGAGGGTCAACTAGAAGACCATTGTCAAGAGCCTGCAAGTTAGCAGCAAATATCAGCTCTGCGTTGAGTGTTGTAACGTATGGTGTGAAATATGGAAAGCTACTAACCTTATGAATGTCAACAGGTCCTCCATTTATCGTTGCAACAGTGGGAAGTCCATGAGCTCCCGCCTGTTATATATGTACAGAACCTGTTAAACAAGAAATCCTGATAGAATATAGTCCTGAAGAGAGAAATGAAGATGATTTAATACCTCGATTAGAGTCAGTCCAAATGGTTCGATGAAAGCTGGATTTATAAATACTCCCTGAAAAAAGGTTTCAGATTAGATAGATAATCAAATGCAAGCAACTGCAGACACAGGAAAATGACTGAGACTCACATGAGCATAGAGGAGAATAGTGAACAGGTTTTGAGCCTTACCTTTGTTTTGGCTGCTAAACGGTAAATTTCAGGAACATCAGTTTGGTTGTGATGCTTAGGCATTGCCACTTGACCATAGAGGTCGTACTTGTCAATTAGCTTCAGGATTGAGAGCAGCACCGAGGCACTAGTGGAGGACAACTCATCAATATCATTTCGGTTTCCCATTATCAGTGTCTGCAATCCAAGAGAGTGAAAGAAGAATGTAAAAAAGTGAAACAAGTTCCAGAAAGTTAGCTGAAGAGAATGATTCTGAGAAGGACTTACAAGGTTAGCAAGTTCCCGTAATGGACGACATTCTCCAAAGGCTTTGACTAGAGTCACCAAATTCTTTTTAGGGTCTGGCCGAGCAAGAGCGAGTATCATAGGCTTACGCGGGTTAGAAAAGAAGCGCATAATCTGTCCCCACCAAGAGAAGAGTTCACAGTAAATACAAAGGAACCAGTAAAACAAGTAAAGAAAATGTAAGAGTCATGTGATTTGAAGATATTATAACCTCAGACCAAATTGGTGGATCAGCAGCAGATTGTGGATTTTCATCATCTCCATCTGCATCAACATCATGTGGTACAATGTGATGAAACTCCATTCCTGGAGGAATCACCTAGAATGATCACATGACAGATGAAGTCATGAGTCATGAATAAAGAAAAAAAAAAACCTCTCTTTTCAAGTCCCTCCCAAGGAGAAACAGAGAAGAAGATACTTACAAAGGTGCGAGGCATAAATCTGCCTAGACAGCTCACACCTCTTCTCATCCTTGCTCTGAGTTTAAGCTCTAAAACCGGATCAAAACCATCATAAAGACTCCACTGCTCGTCTATCTCCTGCCTTGTACTAGTTATGATGATCTCAGAAGCATCAAGAGAGAGCTCCTCCCCCTCAATCCGCCGCATTATCTTGTAGTTAGCATTGATCTCTTCTTTTGGCCGCCCTTGTTTCAGGAGCTGCTCAAGCTTATCGCGACCAAGAGAATGCCCCGTGAACACCATCGGCACATTCAGAGCCCCAGAGAGAAGAGCAGCGGAATCACCAGCATCCGCATAGTGTCCGTGAATAGCAACCGGCCACACTTGTTCTCCGCCAACACTCTGCTCGCCAAGAACCTTAGAGATCTGCATGATATGACTAAGCGCCCTATCAACAAACTCAGGGATATGAGGCCAGAGGAGCTCTTTCTGCACGTATTTATCCTTGGGACCAAAAGGTATACGGATTATGTAAGCGCCGCTACTCTCTCCACGCTCCTGCTCTGTGTTATCTGCGTCTAAGGGATTCAGCATCTCAGTTGGCTCAGAGTAGCTGCTATCCACATCCGGCGCTGATACCTGTCTAGTCAACAAATCGACTCGATAGACTCCTGGCATTGACCCCAATGCCCTTGCAAGTTCCACAACATACTTCACCTGGCCACCGGTATCAGAACCACGGCCAAGCTCCATGTTTTCGCCACGTATCAAACCGTGAAGACTGCAAGAAAGTTTCTACTTTTATCCACCACCATTACTTTCCAAATCAATCAATTGCTAATTGCACTAAATGGATAATACCTTATTAAGACGATGTAAAGCTTCTTCTCTTTGTGTTGAGCAAACCAATTATCAAAGACGTCAACGGAAGTGATCCGAGACATTCTTCCTTTGGTGGCGGTGATGCCATCTGCCTTCTCTCCATCGGTTTCGGATAGATCTGTAACTTCCTTCCTTGCTTTCTCGCGCTCCAGATGGCGTTTCGCAGCACGCTTCGCATTCTTTCCTTCAACCTAATTTTGATTTCGAAACCGGTGAATTCAACAGCTAAAAGCGAACGATCTTCTTTCGATTCATCGGAAATCACAAAACAAACAAACCTGCTTCTTCTGGCGAGCCAAATTCCAAATCCTCCAGCACAAATTCTCCAGCCTCGTGTTCCGCTCTTGTGGACTCCTCGTTGCCGCAGCCTTCAAATAGCGAAAGCCAAATCAAATCGAAACTTCTCAGGAACTTCAAAAAAGAATCGGAAGCGGAGAAAGGAAGCAAGCGTACCTGAACCCAGGAACGGTGAAGATCAGTCTCGTCGAAGCCAGTGATGACCTCCTCCACGAAATAACGACTCGGATTGAAATGGCCGCGCTCTCTTAACAGAAGCGACGATTTGGAATTTCCGATCCCCGGTTCGGCGGCGATGATCGCCTCCAAGTAACTGTTCACCCAATCGTTTCCCGCCATTTTTTTCGCGCTCTCAAACAGACGAAAACTACTCTCCTCCCAACTATTCGGAACGAGAGAAAGATCAATCAACAACTACGGAATCTTGAGACGGAGAAAATCTATCAGTTTCTGAAAATGAACAAACTGTCAAAGAAGCGGGGAGAGGGAAAGAAGATATTTTGACGATTTAGGAAAAAAAATGTATATACACACTATATAGGTTAAGGAGTTAGATCGTTAATTAATGCGTTAAAATATCAGACTTTTAGTATTGAAAGGGCGTATCAGATTTTGATTTCTCACGACGTAAATGATTTGATTCGTTGTTCGTATAGTTTATTAAGGAAATGTTAAAGGGGATGACGTATCAAGTTCTTGGTTACGAGACACGTATAAAGCATTACGTTAGCGATATAGCATACTCGAATATTCTAAAGAGGACTTGTATTAGAGAAAATGACCGATTGATATCTTAGTTACCAGCAGCAAGTGAGCGATGTACACTTGGCGAAATCTAGAACAAGCATATAAGCATTAAGAATCTTATTTTTTGTCCTTTTTGACAACAACCATTTGGAATCTTATTGTACTAAGCGAATAGTATTACATTGAGATAATGAGCTGTCTACGTTTTTATTTTAGTTTAATTCATTAGGTTGTTACTTTGTTCCACGAACATGCCATGATACCATTATAAACTTTTTTATACACAAAATTATATATCCGCGACTTTATACGTTTCTCTTATGATTATTTATGTGTAAAGAAATTAGATAGAGAGACCAATAGATCATTTAAGTAAAAGTGTAAAACTGATGCTATAAACGAAAAAAGTTGCTTAGTTAATATTTGATATTACTTTCTTCTATGGCAAGGAAGAAAAGGATGACAAAAACATCATCAGTCATGAGCACACTATACAACAACAAAAAGTAATGCGTCTCTCAAGAGGCGTCTCTGAGCTTGAGCCTTGGAGTCCATTTGAGATGGATACAAAGCTTCCCTGACTTGGCTCCATCTAACGCAAACCACTCTTGAAACTCTCCTTCTAACATCACTCTTGTCAATGTCATTATCACTCTCCCTATCTTATCCTTCACAAACAAACAAACAGAAAGCAAACATTAATAACTTGCAGACTCATATATAATCATGTTTAGTTTTCCATGAACATTTTATCTTACCTTGCCAAATTTGTCATGGTCCCATACTTCAAGCATCAAGAGATCATGCAAAGCATCTTCCACTACAAAATCAAAAGACTGGTTCCAAACAGGATTCAAGCTATCCGGTATAACCCTAGTCTTGGATTTCGATTCCGATTTCTTCAATGTGATCACCACAAATGGATCCGCTTTCCCCATTACATCTACAGCTGGCAAATCTTCAGCAGCCACCACTGTCACAGACAACACTCCTCTCACTATCACATCTTTCTTTTTCGGACTCTTTAATCTTTTCACATCCGTAGCATCCGAATCCTCGCTTTCAGGCTTAAGTGCCTTCTCTAAAATAGTCAATGAGAAGTTCGCGTTAAACGGGTTCTTGAATCCGCTTTTTTTGCCTAAGGGAGTGTATAAGAGCTCCAATTGCACCTACATATTATACAAACACATATGTATCTTTAATACAAGTAAAAGAGAATGTTAATTATGAGATTTATTGTAAGAGAAAATACTAACCTGACCCCGATTTTTTGTATCCCTTTGGACCTCTAAATCCTTGACTAACTTCAACCACATATCTTTGACTTTCCCGGGGACGAGTTCGTTTAACGTTACTCGAGCAGCACCGATGAGCTGAGAAGACCCTACTCCTTCGTCGTCAAAGACTCTTACTGTCAAATGTTGAGTTGATACATCTTCCACGATAAACTCAAAATGTTCGTTCCAAATCGGATTCAACGAGTTACTCTAAATGACATTAGAAAGAAAATTAAGCACAATCCAAATCAGCAAGATAAAGCTAATATGGTAAGAGGAAATGTCCCTTACAATGGTTTTGGTCTTCTTTGTTTTGTCAGGCAATGGTCGAATGAATAAGACAGCGTAAGGATCGGATTTCCCAATTAAGTCTTTGTTAGCTAAGTCCTTTGCTTGCACAAGCTTCACATCCAATGTTCCAACAGGTTTCAACTCCAGATCACTGTTAAACACATTTCACGTTTATATAAAACGATCTTATTACCAGATGGTATTAGTATTAAAGAAGTAAAAAACCTGTAATCTCCTGGGATTATAGGTATAATTTTCCTAACGGGCCATGTTACACTGTCTTCAATAGCGTCACGAATCGTTTCCTGAACAAAATCGTTAACAGCTTATTGAACAAAAAATATGATATATCATGCTGTGAATATTATAAGATGAAAATTGTTTTGCATACTTCGATTGCATCTGAGATCCCTGGAATCGATGTTAAATCACCACCAATGACTTTAAGTGTAAAATCAAGCCCTTTCTGCTCCCACAAAACAAAAGAAGATCGCTATAACAATTAACAAAAACCGAAAAGATTATAACAAGCAATCAAGATTATCATTAGATTACCTTTTCTCTAAGTGAATAAGAAAGTGCACCAAAGCAAGGGAATTCATCAACAAGAGGTTTGAAAATCAACCTGAAAACACCTGTGAATCCTATATTTTTCACCTGTACAGTTACAAACAACACATAAAGCTCAAGAACAAAAATGTATATAACATTTTATAATAATGGCATTCATTAGTAGTGATCTATAAATTTGTACCTCGATCGGTAGAGCCACGCCAAGTAAGGTTTTAATATCCAACACGATTTTGGGATTACCGTCCCATTGCATTTCAAGTTCCATCGTTATTCCATCAGGCCCACTTTCATTTTCTAAGATACAAACTCCTACACAAAACATTTCACTTGCTTTCATATTTCTCTCTCTTAGATCACATGGATTTATAGCAACTAACAAAACCAAACCTGTGAACTGAGGAGCAACAGTCCCAAGTGTAAATTTGGAGAATTTGAGAGATGCTAACATGGCTGGTGTATATTGTTCAAGAACTGGTTCCACACTGCTTCGAATCAGCTCAGAAGCTGCCTGCATGATTAAGTAGATAATAAATCATCACATGCATTTTAGAGGTAAAAAAATGTGTAAAAGATGATTAAGAGTTACCTCATTTACATAAGGCCAGATCTTTTCAAGTTCAAGGTTAAGCCAGTTTAACTGTTATTTAACCAGCAAGTATCAATATCTCTAATCATCCTTTTATCAACAAGAGCAAAAGAAGTAATAAATTGAATAACTCAACTTTTGTCTCTGTGAAAATATAACCCAAGAAGGATAAAAATCTCCAGGGAGAAGTTTTCTCGAATCTTGAACAGTCATTCTTGCAAACGCAGCAATCATATTCGCCTACACACCCAAATAAGAGGATACATTGTATCTTAATTACTTACTAATATTCGTTATTGGTATAATCATCACAAAATGAAAATACATAATGATGAGAAAAATTGTTTTACCAATTCAGCTCGACGAGTGGATCTGACACTAGAATAGCGAGCAAATGCGACGACCAAACCGACAGAAACTGCGATTCCTATGAACAAACCAAAGAGAAAACCCATTTTGTTTCCCTAGTTCACGACGGATCAAACCCGGGACGATGGTTTTATATGGGATCCATTCATTCGAAGAACAGAGAATGCTCTGCTTTCTGAGATTAATTAGTAATCATCGACAATAAAGTTAAAGAGGAGATTACTTGGCGCTTAGTTATTCTCTAATCTAATCAAATGATTTTTTGGCTTTTAAGATTCTTCTCCTTCATTCGCTTTTTCTTTTGATTTGATCCTCTCTAAAATCTCATTATCTCGATGTCGTTTGTTCTTCTTTTTCTGCATGTTTCTTTTTCTCTCCTGAAACTTCTATTAATCTCTGTTTACACCAAACGCTAGCTTTATTTCGACGTTGGTTCGTATGTGTACATTAGCAATTACCATATGAAATCAAACCTACTAATCACAATGTATAAAGTGAAAATTGTGTTACATTCTGTATGGGCCGGCCCATTTCTAATACCCATAGTCCAAAATTATGGCTTATGCTTTCGTTTTGTTCCGATAAGGGTATTATTGTGATTTTATTTACACATGAAGTCATTTTTGGTCTTTGTCAACTATATGAAATCCTGATGTAAAAGGGTGAAGGACAAACATTGAAAAATCATGAAATGGTTGAGATTTTATGAACTCAATAAATGATAATTGTAATTATTAAAATAATGTACTTCGAAACGTAAAGACCGATCGTCATTATCAAATCCTAGGATGGATCACTTCACAGTTTCATGGACGCACGCAATGTATTTTGTTTCGGCTTATCTCTTTTCTGACTTTTTAACCTCACATTTTTTTTCTTCTTCATTTCTATTTTCTCAAATTTTAGTATATGATTAACTTACAACGAAACGAAGGAAAATCATTAGAGAGCAGTGTCTTTTGTAATTTGTATATTTAATTTGTGCTATATATACCTTGGTTGGTCTATTGTCAATTGAATTTCGGAATTTTTTTAGTTAGCATTAATAAGGTGGGCGTATCATTCATGAATCATGAGAGTAAGTAAACAGTTCAACTAATATGAATGTGGTCGCATAAATTTGCGCCCGAAAGAAACCTATAAATTTATTGACCTATAGTTAAGACATACTCATAAACTCTGAGGATGAAAAATACCATGTCTATTAATGTACAGAGAATCTAAAATAGCTAGTGGTTGTAAATTATTTAGGAATGTGAAGTGACATGGAGAAAACATACTTGTTGTTTTGTAAGAGTGTGTGGATAGAAATATTTAAATTATCCATAAGAGAGAATCAGAAACTCACAAAAAGAATGTGAACGAGTTTTAGGAATTTTGAACTTATCTTTTTAAAAGCCAAAGTGTAACTGTGCCATAGCCTTATGCCAAACCAGGACCGAAAAGAAAGTAATCTTATCTCTTATGATTGTCACATGTAGTGTCTGAGGATTGGCTCCTCTGTATCTAAAGTTAGAGAGTTAATTACTCAACTAAATGAAAGCGTGTGGGTCATGCTCATCACTCAAGTCTCGTTTCCCTATCTCAACTGCTGTGCAATTGGTGATCAAATCTGTAACGGATACTTTTTTATTCATCTTAAAATAATACTAGTATAACTAAATTTTAGCTACCCTGTTTAAAGATGGAGAGAATACACACTACAAGAGATTAGTCAAGTGGCGTCACTTTTTTTAAGTCGGAATATTAACCGACGCCAAAATAGAAAAAAGGAAGGAGGTTAACGTCAATGTACATAGGTTTGTTCTTAAAATAGTAGGCAAACCAGTGTATCTTATTTTTGTTATTTAGTTAGTACGTCTATAATATGTTCCACTGTAATTAACATTGCTGTAAAATACCTCGATTTACAAGATGACAACTAAAAGAAAAAAAAAGACACGGGCCTTGCCTCATTTAATAGTCAAATTATTGAAAACGGTTGATATCAATTAGTCATATTGAAGACCAGCATGTGTCTCTCTATCTTCTTTCAATTTTGCTATAGCTATATGTCACATTTGATATTTGACATAAGGTATTGAATAGCGGAAAATTTTGAAAATTTAGGTCTCCTCGATCATTGAACTGCCGTTGTTGACCATCTCTCAATTTTATTTTTGAATTAAAAAAAACTGTAGTATCAAGACTAGTAGGACCGTTGCCAAAAAAGAAGGATCATCAGAAAATAATATTAGTTCGCAGATTATGATCCGATGGAATCAAGTGAAACAACTTACAATTTAAACAGAAGATGTCGAATGAAAGAAAATAGCGATATTCCAATAATCATTCTTATTTTTCTGCCTTTCTGGGGTCATTATGTTTTCTACAGCGAATATAAAATTCATAATTTATTATGGACTTGACACCAAAATTCTCGAATAAACTTGCTTGTTAAGCCATCTTGCGTTGTCCGTTCTTTAAAGAATGAAACTCAAAAGAGAAGATTTTAGAATTCAACAAGTACAAGCCAAAGGAAAAAGGGCCACACATATATATATTCGGAGTAAAATATGTTTGATATAATAAAGTCATTAACATAGCGTATGGTCCTTAGTTCATAGTCAGCTGCTTTTGTTAAAAGTCGGTCTGACCTGTAAACTATAACCTTTCATACGTGTCAAAAGAACAATAGAGCAAAATTACGTGTAATTAGAGTGTGGAATGTCTGAGAAGACACCTTAGTGTGAAATCGACAAAAGTAATACAGTAAGAAATAGTAATAAACTATACGATCTGTATTGGTGTTGAACGTTCTACATACATATGGAAGAAGGTTCGAAAAATTTGCTGAAAATGATATTAGAGTGATTAAAAAAAATCTTAACAATTGAATCCAATAGTAGTTTTTTCCCCTCCATTTTCGAAATTTAGGTTTAAATCCTAATAAGCTAGCTTTGATATTCTTATGCATTATTGTGGAGGTGCCGTGGAAAGAATTTATAGAAAAAGTGTGTGAGTTCCTTTTTTCTTTTAGATCAAAAGTCCGAAAAGTCGAAACAATGAAAATAAGAAGAGGAAATAAATACTAAGTTGGAGAAAAAAGAAAAGGAGTATCAAATTGGTTGAACTCTCAAGCTTCAGACACAAGCAACCCTATTTTCAAGTCTTTATCAGGAATTTTCCAATCCGCCACGCAAAATACACTCACTTTCGTCATTTTATGACTTCAACTCACCAAATGAATGTATAAACATATCAATTAATTTAGTAAACAGCATTTTTCGGTTAAACACAATTAAAATATCAGTTTTATTTCTCCTGAAGGGGTGCTTCTGAGAAGCCATTAAAAAATATGCACGGCGTCGTTGGGGTCGACACGAGAATTTTTAAGACAGAAGTAACGCTTTGGATTTTAATTTAATAGCTAAAACAATCAGCCACCAAGTGGGTGTATATTACTTAATAGTACCGATACGTATCTTGTAAACTTTAAAAGCCGTCAAAAGATTATAAATTAGATGAAATCTTAGTTGCACCATACAAAACAGTATCTCCCCTAATTATGGAAATGGAAGAAGCTTCCTTATACTTTATTTCTGTTTTCGCATCATAATAAGTTTGGTTTCCACCTCATCTAGATCTTAATACATCGCTTTCACGCTTTAGATCTTTTTATTTTTATGATGCACATTCACTCCTCTACGATCCTACAAAATTTGTGCTAATAATTGGGAATATATTATTGCCATTGCCATGTATATATCTCTATATAATATTTGGTTTTAGGAATTTTACAACCTATTTGGCAAGTAGTCGCCGACCTCTTATGATGTCACTATGAATTGAACCAAATTCGTGAAAGAAAATAAAAAGCCAATAATATAACAAGATGATGGTGGCATATACTCTTCCAGGTAAGGAAGACGTGTATCCCCATCTTCATTCCACTGTTTCCTCTTTATAAATTGAACGATCCCTGATCACATCTTTTCTCCATCTTATTCTTTTGGTACAATTTATTGCTATGCCTCTTACAAGATTTAACAAAACTACTAGTATTATAGTCGGCTTATCTGTCATCATGTCACTATGATTTTGAATAATATGAAATTCATTTTTCCAACTACCATTCTCAAACTTTCAAAAGGCTTCTTATCCATACGATCGTTTTCTCAGTATTATCAGATGGTTGTAGTAAATACGTCTTGGACACCACAAAATACATACTTATCCACTGTTCGCGTGCGCTAAACCAACATTGAATTGTAGAAAGAATCAAAGTCATCGCTACTACAACCAAGAAGTAACATGTCTTCAGAACAAAATTATTGTTGACACAAGATACGTATAGCCCTCACATGTCAATCATGTGTGTATGTGACAGAACCCAAACTCAAGAATATATATGTTCAAAGCTAAAAAGACGGATCGAAGCTAAACCAATCAAAAACCCGAGGAGATCCGTCAATGAGAAAAAGATCACAAGCGTGATCCAATTATGTGGTTTCCAACCATCCTACTAATCACTAGCTGACTTATCCTACCGGAAGAAAACTATGTCCACGTACAACATATCACACTGTCATAAGTCATAACCAATTGTAAAAATTACCTCCCAAATTCTACTACTATAACTTGCACTTCTTCTTCTTTCTTTTTTTATATAGATTCAAATGTTTGATCAATGAATTTAGTTGTTTAGAGAATATTGTTTACTTTATTGTTAATAATAGGTATAACCTACCTGGATATAGAGGAATATGATCTTCCAGACAAGAAGAACGTGTCTTTTCCACTTTTTACCTCTTTCCTTTTTCTTCGTTCAAACATTCCAATTTATACCTGCTCATGAATCGAATGGTTTCCAATTTCTCCCTATCTATGTGTATTTTATTTCCCCTTCTTCTTCTTTAACCATTACATGTTGCGTCGTTTTCTATTGGTCAGTCTTCTTTAACCATTTCTCTTCCTCTTTCATTTTCCTTTCGACTCCTATGTAAGTTTTTGTCATCAATCATATGCTCCCACCCCACTTTTATTTTCCGTGCTCGCGATTTAATATTTCTCATTTTCTTTATGTCCACAAAGACCATTTTCTCGTCTTAGATATAACATTTTTTCATTTCACCGTTTTTCTTTTTGTTCATCTTTCAAATTCATGTCCCGGTTAGTCAAGTAGTTCAAACTCCATCGACGAACGCAACCTGCAAAACAATCAATAAACCAATCAAAATGTTCACAAAAAGAAAATACAATTACGAGAAAGAGTAAAAATGAACATACAAAGAAAACCGAGAAACATACCTTACACGACGAACAACGCATACCTGGAAAACTAACGGAACGCTTAACGGAAGAAACGGACGGATAACGGCAAATGACGACGGTCAACGGGAAACGCGAACGTTGACGGAACACACGAAAGAACGGAAAATCAAAATAAACGCTGCACATACACACACACCATGGACGAGAGAAATGAGGATCTAAATCCCAATTGTGTTATGAAAACTTGATTCAGTATAATTCGACTCGGATCTATTTACCAGATTTAGTTTTCGATTTTAGGTGTAATTTCAAGAGTCCACGACATTTTTTTGGTGTGTGTGTGACAGAGAGAGAGCATCAAAAGAGTAATATGAGTATGTACAATGCATTTCGCATCTTCTTTTTTCACCCAACAACAAAAAAATTATGATGGTGTGTCCGTTTCTTTCGATCTTCGTTTACAAAATTCGATTTCGAGCATCTTCCTCAGCCACAATCGCCACAGATCTCGCCTAACTTCGAATCATCACCTCGCCGATTCTACTTTTCCAGCCAGATTCAGATTCTTCTTCGCCGGATCTATCGCCCTAGTTATCATGTGGTGGTTTTAGAGAGGAGAGCAAACCTGAAATCTGAAATCGTATCAGATCCGATCAATTATCATCGGCTTTCGACATGATCGAGAGCCTGCTAGGACGAGGCTGATACGCTGCTCGCCGTTTCAGATGGTGCGACGAAGGTCGAATCAGAGTCGTCAAGGCTCTTCTCACCCACTCTCCTTCCACGCCGCCGATTCTCACCAGAGAATTCGTCATTGCCGACCGGCGCATATTCAGACTGTTGGTCGGATACGAAGCTGCGCCTTGGCCGTGTGGATTCGCGACGTTCTTATGGAGACTACACCGGAAAGATCCGGGATGAGTCGTCGGAGAGCACATACACCTCCTTCTCGTCTCGGGACTGCTCGTCGGCTGCTGCTTCTTCGAAACGGAGATGGATCGGTTAGTAGGAGAAATGGATCTGCTGTCGAGAGCATACCGGAACGACTGAGCCATCGGCTGCGCCGTGAATAGATTCACGCGAGTCGGCGACGCAGATCGGTGGTGACTGTGATTCTCGTGGTTGTGACGGTGGTTGCTGAAGAAAGCTGTAGACGGAGACGAGAAGCTTGAGCTCGTAGAGGAAGCGAACGCTGAGGAAGAAGACGACGGAACGGCTTTCGAGTAAGCGCCGCAAAACCGACCCGACGGCGATTGGGAACGAAGCACAGGGCCGCTTGTTTTGGTACGAGACGATGTGGTCACCATTGTTTTTCTTCAAAATTCAAAAGAGAAATTGAAAAAGTCTCAAAGGAGAAGAAGGGAAGAGGATTTGAGGATCTCTCTTTAGAAGGCCCCGGAGGGAGGTTGGTTCGGCAAACCTAGTGAGTCTCAGGAACCGAATTTATAACAAAAGCTGTCCAATGGCATGAAATGTAAATAGTTTCAAAGATTTTGACCATTTTCGAATTTTAGGTAATTCTATGTCGGGTTAGTCAAACTTAACCATGGTTACCAAAATAAAAATGGTATTTTTTTCTTTTATTTTTCGATATTTATTTCAACTTGGCGGTTTTGCCGTTTCGAAAAGAATCGGGTTCGGATCCAACGGCTGAGATGACAAATCAGAGAAATGGCTTTGTGGGCAGTTAGAAAAGCTGCCACGTATCGTGACTAAGAAAGATGTCAGCTCGTACCCCGGAAAAGCTGCGATAATTACGAAATGCCATTGCCCGTTGTTTTGCCAAGAGCCGGATTTACAATTCCAATGGATTATTTTTTGTCGTCACAGTCCTATATGGTTTTGTAACGGTATCTATTTAAGATATAAATAACTTTCAAAACACGAAATCCAATGAACTGTATACATCTAGAACATGTAACAACGACATTTGGGTGATTTTCAGGCTTTCGGGATACATGTATAATGTAATAAGTTAACCGAATCACATGTATACACATAGCAAATCAATCAAAGTCTCAAAATAACGTACGAAACGATCAATTCGCAACACTTTACAATATTTCCATACGGAAGAATTAATAAACCACAACATGAAACAATCACAACAACTAACAAAACTAAAATATATCAACAACTTTTCACCTCAAACCTACCGGTGAGTTAGTCAAACTCTTGGAGGTGGCTTTCAAGCGAGGTTATGTGACCACAACGAATCCCAAAGTCGTTAAAAGTGTTTTAGTGTTAGACTTTGTATTTATCCCAGTAAGATCCATGCAACTGTGTTTTATATTGGACCCAAGCAAACATCCTAGGAACTGATCGAACTAATGACTCGAATTATTCTTATTCGGAGGTAATGAAAACATACAATTATCAACGAGGTACAACTACTATGAATTATATTAAATCTTGAAGCTGCTTTTGCTCTTGATAAACAATTACATACTGTATAATATTTTGATTCTCCATGATACGCTGCATCTCTTAAAATCGTGTTCCAGTAAGCTTCTTCAAAACATATATCTTGTAGGGAAGGTTACGATCGAGAAGGTTGAGTGAGACTTATTGAAGAAGATAATTAACGTTGGCTTTGGACTTGGGTTTCAGACAAGTCAGTTTTTAGGTGATGTAAGAATCCTGGTTGTTCTACTAAATGGAAAGGAGGTGAATCTACAAATCTTCTAGACTGATTGACACGATTCAGGACCGAGCTTAAAATATCGATATATTTTCTTTCGCCTAAAGTAGAACTCTGGACATGATGATAAAAACACATAGTCGTGTCTTCTGGTGGGTATGTGACCGTTTCATGAAAAAGAGGAATGGTCTCGACAGAACCCACGTTATGTAATTCAGAATCATAGACCGATTATCAATTTTAATAACATTAGAATAGTAAAATAATTTGACAAATAAAGTTAAAATGTATCTTAAACATTATAGAAATACTAAAGTAGGTACGACGATTGGAAGGGGTTAATTACGACGAATCCAAGAAAGAAAAGAATTTAAAATAGTATAGGATTGAGGGATCAATAATGCGGGGCACATGGAGTTTGTGTTGGGTGAGTTAGGGACAAAACAGTTATTTTTGTATGGTCGGGATATACATTGTGTTAAAGCTATAGGCTAACAAACATCTCACCACCTCGTCCCACATTACAACGACACGTGTGATTGAGTCTCACACGTGTCCAGCCTTCCCTAGCCTCATCAAGTCATCATAACAATCCAAGAAACAAAAGTGTTTAACTGGTGATTCAATGAAATGTCTGAGGTTGGATTTAGAGTTATTTAACATGGTCCTGGTCATGGTCCGGTCATGGTCGTGTAGTGGGTCATGTGATTATTGTTTCTTATTAATTACATCTATCTACTAGTATCATCTCATTTACCACCTTATTTGCTATACTTTTTAGCTGTTTTCTTCTGCAAAGATAGTCTTTCACTCTAGTGGTGACAAGATCACGAGAGTAAAGATGGGGGCGAGATGTTTCTAGGTCTTTTTGTAACAGTATAAAAGCATTATTAAATGTTATGTTGTTCTTTTGGTGATATGGGAGAGTATAAAGCGTGTTAAAGTCCTCTATTAATGGAAAATCATGTCCGATATACCTTGCAATAAAAAATTTGTGCTGTGATAATGCTAAACAAAAGAATCTTACATTGATGGCTTGATTCCCATGGTAAAGACTTTGATGATTAGTTAATTTGAAGCAAATTTGAGAATGCCGTTACTAAGAATAAGATGCTTATTTTACTCTGAGATATTTTCACATCACTATTATTAGTGGAGGTAGTAATGAGGTTGTGCTAGTATCCAATATTATAATGTCTAGGTTTCAATAATAATTATGATATTATGCTGATTTGCCATTTTCTCCTTCTCCGCTTGCACATCTCTTTGTAGATTTGGTTAATCAATAACCATCCACCTAAGAGAGACATTTGAATATCTTGGTATTAACTAAACAATCAAGAAATCCTACTCTATTTTTTTTTACCAATATCAATCATCTCAACATCTACTCCTTTTTCTTGATCTAACAACATGAATCGTAACATTAGATATAAATTCATGTATAAAACAAAGTCAGGTCCATGGCTTCCTCTAATATTGCCAGCAAGAAAACAGAGCAAAAAAATTGCTTAGCCTACTGTCCTGATTTTATTGAAATTTGAATGATACATTACTCGCATGAGTAGTATGAACAACCATCGCATCAGAATCGCTGGAGTAGCAATCTCTTGACGCATCATACTATGTATTACATGTAATATGATGCGTCATCTCAATGAGCCAAAGCATTCTGGTGGCCAGACCTAAAGCAAGCAAACAGATGGTTTTACTAACTGTCACTATTTCATAACAATTTCAAATCTAGTAAAAAAAGTTATCGGACTACAAAGACTTACCCGTAGAAGAGCTTTGCCTTCAATGAGATTGTAAGGCACAGGTCCAAAATGACGTGAATCAGTTGAAGCATACAAGTTATCTCCCTGTATCCAAACATGACCTTTTGGAACCTATTTTGAAGAAGCAACACATAAACTCCAAATCAGACAAAACTCAAAATGCTGATAAGTGATAACAGCTCTGAAATCGACTCTAAACGAAACCAATAACCAGCAATGATTGACCTTCTAAACTATCCCAAATCATCATCAATCACGCACGGATAAACCCTAAAACTTTAAAATTAGTACTTTTTTTTTACCAAATCAATTGGTCAATGTTCATACCACAACACTGATAGAGTCATCACCGACCAATGGGTCAGCAGAGAAAGTGAGTCTATGTCCTTCTAAACCCAAGATCCGCTTCGTCACCATCCTGTTCGGGTCCCTCGGAGATCGAACCAATACAACGTCACCGAGCCCAATCATACCGAGCCGGTGCGTTAAATGCTCCGCTAAAATGACATCGCCGGTGAGGTTAAGCGTCGGAAGCATGCTTGGACCTTGAACCTAAAACCCAATACAAACGGAATTAGATTTTTCTTTGGAGAAGATGAAATTAGGAAAGAGATTCAATTGACAATCAATTACATACGTGGGTGGAGGAAATTAGGTAACGATCGGTGACGTGAAGCAAACAGAGAAACTTGGCGACGACTGATACTTGACCGAATGCCTCCTTGGCCGTCCCACGCCATTGTTTCAGATAATTCAGCAATCTCATCTCTCGACGACTAACCGAATCTCGGAAGAAGAAGCAGAAAAAAAGAAGACCAAGGCGCCGAAACAGGTCCGACTCTACACTTAAAGACAACACGCAGTCGGTTATTCCAGAGGTCTAAACGGCACCATGTTTTGATATTGAAGATGACCTAATCGTTGTTAGCGAGGAGGTTTATTTGTGAATCTTAAAAGAGAAAATTAAAACCTCAGGGTTTAAATCGAAATATTAAACAGTTCGAGGGTTATATTTGTTATTTTCCAAACATTATAATGATGCATAAAGCTTTCCGTTTGAATCCGTTATAACCAACCCACTCGTAGAGGAAGAAGAGAGCGGGAAAGAAAAGTGGACTTGAGAGGAAGCTTCGACTTCTTGGGTCGTGTTGGAGATTCTAGGGTTACAGAAGTCGCATCTAAATCTGCTCCCACGCTACTTCTCGTCCAAGTTTCGTCGACTCTTTCGCGCGTGTTTAGTATCTCTTCTCTTAACCTCGCTCTTCTTCTTGACGCTTGATTTCAACTCTCCACATTTCCTAGGGTTTAAGCTGGTATCAAACTGGATTGGGTCTTTTTGAAGTTTGTGGGAGAGTTTGAGCTTGGCGTTGGTGGATCGAAATCAGGCGTGTGTTGATCTTCGTCGTCGTGATCTTATCAGTCAAGAAATCTCTGTTTCTTTGCTCGCGATGGGAGATAGAGTCAACGTAACGGGGGAGCGATTTAATATTAACGTAAATAGATTGCATTCTCGATCATACATCGTTACTCTACGCAGCAGAAACGTAAGAATAAGATTGATCGTTTTATAATTTAATTGGTGGAATCTGTGTTTCTTTGCATGGATGATCAAGATTGTGAAGATCTATTTTGCTCTGTTTCCTATTGCAGATCACTATCCTGGAATTTAAGGAGGAAATTGCAGCTGTCTCTGGGGTTGCTTCGGGACTACAACACTTGCTATTCCGTGGAAGAGCTTTGAGAGACGATCACGTCTTATCAGATTATCGTATCCTTCTCATGCTCGCTCTCTTGTGTTCTTTCCTTTCTTCCTTTTTCTTCTTTCCCGGACGGTTTTCTTTAAACCGGTTTTAATCAAAGAAATTGAGAGAGACCACACTCTGTATTTGATTGTCAGACCACCAATTCCACGGTTAATACAAGGTGAAATTGCAGGTGTGCATTGCTTTTCTAAACCTAGTCTTGGTGGAATGTTTTAGTGTTGGTGTATGCTTTTGAAACTTTTTTTTTGTTCAGCGTCTGATCTTAATCTGAGTGGTCTGGGGAGGCAAAGAGAGGTACAGTTTCAATTGAAAGAGACCACCACACTCTTGTCTTTTTGCTCTTTAACATTTTGGTCAACTGCAGGAGTTTCCGGATGCTTTGACACGCATTTCTTCATTCCTGAGAGGTGGGTTTGCTTTGCTTCCAACCGTTTAGACATGATGATCTCAAATCCTGAGCTTTTGTGAACTTTTGTCTTGTGTGAAACCTGTAGATAATGAGAACAATTCGCAAATTGAACCATACATTCTAGAGACGTTGGCAGAGACTAGAAGGCACTTGTTGATCGGTGAAGTATCTCAAACCTTAGCTATATGTTCTCAACATTGTTTTATTTCTTTCCATTCCATATGTTAGTCGAGTTATGCCAATTATGCCCTTTGTGCAGAACATCTCACAGGAGCTTGCGAATCAATCATCTCCAAGATTGCAGCAAAGGAGAGCAAATGAAGAAGGATTCTTCTTGGCCAATCTAGGAAGTTCACTCATTGAGCTAGGCCGTAACATCTCAAGAATGAGCTGGGGAGAGGAAGATCTGCCTGTGAGTACACATTTGCTTCCTATTAGATTAGTTTTTTTGCACATATATAAGTTTTTATTTGATCTCAGGAGGTTATTGCTACTCATGGCTTACTGGTACAGGTTTGTTCTGTCTCCTATCTTCGTTACCATTTGTTGTTTCATTTATCGACAATATTTCGACCCTTTTTTTTGTTTTTCGCTTGCATCGTTTAGGAAAATGAAGTGATAAGAAGGCAAACAACATATACGTTTAACTGGCCATTACCTCAAACACAACCACCTCTCGGATTAGCCAGCTCAGAGTCTCGAAATGCAGAGGTGACTAATGGAGTCTCTGATCTTATAATACATGCAGTGGAGTATTATAGGTCTATTGAGCGTGTGTTGGTGTATATGTGCAGGAGGAGGCTGAGGATTCAAATTCAGATTAAGAAGATGAAGAGTGAAGACAGTTATTAGTTTAGACAAAAATATAGCAAAAAGCTATTAGTGGTGGCAATAGAGGAAACTAGAGAGAAGATTTTATATTTTCATCTGGAATTATTGTTTTTTTCATGTTAAAATAGAAGAATAAAACTGTGTAAAGGTACCTGTTTTTGTATAGAGCGTTAAAATATCACTCTTTCCGCTCTGGTGGTGATACTTGAAGCTCACGCTATGTCTTTTGTATCAAATGCTCTGTTTTGTGAGCTTTTGGCTCTGTTTTTAACCGTTTGAAGCTCTGTTTGCTTATAATTAAAACAAGCTCTTTCCAACATCTTTTTTTTTTTTTTTTTTATGTTTTGCTTTATCATATAATGCACTGAAAAGCAAACTGAAAACAAGTCAGGGTCACATTAGTTATTTTCCTTAACCGTATAACAAACTAAAGAAGCTCTGTTTTGAATCTTTTATAACCCATGAAACGTCTCTTGTAGAGGAAGAAGAAACAGAGGAAAAGGAAAGAAAAATCGAAAGAGAAGTTGGGGTTGAGAGGAAGCTCTCAGGGATAAAAGAAACCGCATCAAAATCTACTTGTCTCTTCTAATCCGAACGATTTCCCAAGCTCCGTCGTCTACTCTTTGGAACTTGGTATCCCTTCTTCTCGATGCTCGTGTCATTTCCGCTGCTTCTTGATCAAAAGTACTAAGTAGCAAGTGGATTTGGGAGTTTGAGTTTGCGGTGGTGACTGGTGATCGGAGTTTCTTTTATGTTTCGTCGTTGTAGTCGTAGTCGTAGTCGTAGAGAGAGATTTCGTCTTGGTTTAGTGTTCGTCTCTGATTGGAATTTTGTGCTCTCAGGGTGATATAATGGAGATAAAGATAAAGGCATTGCATTCAAGAACATACAACTTCGCTGTAGAGACAACTGTAAGATATTTTCTTAGAATTTCTTTTTTTTTGGTTTGATCATTGTGAATTCATAATATTGGTTTGGCAAATTGGCAGATCTCTGTTCAGGCATTGAAGCTGCTTATCGAACAAAATTCCGGGATCACATCGGAACGCCAGCGTTTGCTATTTCGCGGAAGAGCTTTGAACGATGATCTACGATCATTATCAGATTATCGTATCCTCTGCTTTTTCATTTTTCGTCGCTCTCATGTTTTACTTCTCTCTCAATCCATAAAAGCATTTTCTTTAAAAATGGGTTTAATCTTTAGAGGTTGAAGAAGGCCACACTGTGTATTTGGTTGAAACACCACAAGGAGGAGCAAGTGGTAATGCTCTCAAAACTTAAAAGTCCCTAACTTTTTTACTCTTTGACATTTTACTATTTCTGTAAACAACTTTCCTTTTTTCTTGCAGCAGCTGGTCCTGTTTTGAGAAGTCACATAATTCGCATGGAAGTTGAAAACTTTGGCTTTTTACTAGTGCAGTGCGATGTCAATTCAAATAATGCTCTTGTGAGTACTCTTGTATCTTCTTTTATGTTTCGGCTCTTCTTTAATGCAATCTTCTTAATTACTACTGACGATTCTATGTTTCTTCTAGTCAATGCAGCTGATTCCTAATTATTTCATACTCATTGTGAGACGTCTGCTCCGTCACTTTGCTGTTATCTATGGTTGGCTCGTGATTTCAAACTATATATATATATATATATATATATATATATATATATATTCCTTTGTTGAAACAGATTTGGGGTTTCTGTGACATTTTTTGTATTCTAAATTGTTTAGGCAACAATAACAATCCAATTCCACCGGCGGAGATGCTTCAGGAGATAAGGCAACTGCTCACTGAAGAAGTAGTTGACTTTTTTTCTGTATGTTCTTTTACCATTGACTCGCTTTATACCAGATTCTTGTTATGTTTTTTCTCTTTTTTTTTTTTAATTTCATTTCCTGTGTATCTCCCTTGTGCAGATCCTCAGAGAGATGGATAGTGTAAATGATCCATCTACTCGAAGATGGCAAGAAGGGAGACTAATTGTCGAATCAGGAAGGGTATCGGAGACTCTAGGAAGGTTACTTATTGCGCTAGGCCGTGCCAACTAAGAAGCTAGCAGGAGAGCAACACTTGTGTGTACATCTCATTTTATCTTCTTCAGGTTGTTCACTGAAAAGAAAAGCTTTTGTGTAGCTACAATATGACCATTTTTCTTTCTGGATGTATCTCAGGAGGAGGCTGCATTGTCCACATCCTCTACAGAGCAAGATCGCTTGCAGGTTTTTTTTTTCTGGCTTTCAGCTTCATACAAGTATTGGAGAAGGAAACCTACCACTTGCGTCTGACACAAGAAATGGTGAACATGTCGATATCGCCAGCTCTGAATCTCAAAATGAAGTCAATCAATCCTCTCCTCGACCTACCACAGATGTAATTAACGAAATCTTTGGGATACAATATATTTAAGCAGTGTATTATAGCTCTGTTGAGTGTTTGTTGGTATCAATGTGCACGAGCAGCATTCGCATTCAGATTCAGAACGTGAGATGGTAAACACAGTTACTAGTTTAAACATATATATAGCAAAAGAGATGGTTAGAGTTTTGTCTCTGAGACGCTGTTTTTTTAAATGTGATGAAGCAGAGCTAGTGAATTTGGTGGTGGCAAAGAGGAATTAGAGGTGTACAAAAGCAGAAGCTCTTACATTTTCATTTGGAAACTGCTATTTTTTTCACATTAGAACAGAAAGTCTTTCTTCTTGTATCATAATATACATTCTCACCTTTTTCTTCTTCTCAATGAGAAATTGATTCTTTTATCACAAAGCATATGAAAGTTTCTGAAGAAATTTCTGTACCACAGAGCACGTTAAGTAAAATTACATAAACTCCCAACTATAAATGAAAATTTCATATATTATACAAGTAGCATCACTGTCTTTATTGCGATTACCAGGAAAAATAAAAATTAATACGAAAACACGCCCTTTAAAACGTGGACCGGGCCCAAACCCACGCTCCACCCACGGATTTTTATTTTAACTCCTTATCTTTTTTTTTCTTCTGATCCTATTTATTCTCTCCCTCTCGTTTATTTTTCTCTCACTTGTCTTTCATTTTCTGGTTCCTTCTCTTTTCTCTACAATTTCTGTTATGCAAATTCCTTCAATTTCGAAAAAACTGTTCAAGATCGACGAGGACATGTACAACGAATGCACCTCTCCGTCTTCCGCCAGATCAGCCAGAGTAACCGGTCACAGAATGAGATCTCCGATCTGCTGTTTAGGAGCCAACGCGGTGGTTGAGCCGGAATCGATGATCGGTCCGAGAACCCCGAGATCTCCTTACGAATGGCTCAAATCCACGGCGCAGGAGCTCGAGATCAGAGATCGTTGCCGCCGCGTCAAGACTCGCATCAAGGTCACGTGCCGCAACAACAATTGCGCTTATAATTGCGCTCACCAACATCACCAGAGGCACCATAGCCAGAGCTATCCTGGAGATTTCAGTTACGATCCGATGAGCTACGCGCTCAATTTCGAGGACGATGTGCGAGCGGACGAGGACGCTTCTTTTCCGAGTTTCACGGCGAGGTTGCCTGCGTCTCCGGTGACGAAAACTAGATCGGCGACGGTTGATCTCATCTCATTCTGACTGCTGTTAATTAGTCCCTTTAAAAAATATCTTTTCGTTTTGTCCTTGTTTGTGAAGTGATATATGACGTCATTATATATGTAAATGCTCGCGTATTGATTGAAACTCGCGTATTGATTGAAACCTGTAAAATTGAGGTGTGCAAAAAAACGTTTTTTCTTTATACAATGTCTATCTCTGATCTTTCTTTGTGAATAAACATTTTACTCCTGCAATTTTAGACGATTTCACTTTTTTTTTGCTTTGTAGAATTGTTCTTCAAATGAGAGAATTGTTTCTTGAGGAAATAAAATAAAATTATAAATTATAAATTAAAAAAAAAACAAATATAATACACAAAGCTCTAACCGACAAACAAACCCTAAAATGTGGGTGGGTTAGAAACATGCATGGTTTATGCCATGGAATCAATTACCACTTTAACAAAAGATGTTAAAAGAGCTTGTTAATTCATCAAGAACTGGAGTTGCAAATGATGAGTGAGGAGATTCTCGATTCGAAGACTAAAATAAATGTTACTGGAAAGGAGTTTGAACGTGAGTCAAGTGAAAGATTATACTGTATAAGATAAGCATTTTGAGAAATCGAGTATCAAAATAGCAAGAGCTAATTAATTTCCAACTAACCAGGGGATAACTTATGAGTGAAAATAAAAATCTAAAACATTAAAGACTACCATAACAGGTAACGGAGAAACTTGTGTCGGCATAATCATATGGAACCTTATCGAGAAAAATGTCAACGTTGCAGTTTTATGAATCGCCATCATTGAGGCCGTCTAGCAAGACAGTGGTACTTAAAAATTCCTTTTGTAGTCAAAGTATTAAACTCAGGTCTGAAACGGAAAAAGTTCTTTATCAGAAAAAAAAGAAACGAAAAAGGTTTGGGTATACTTTTTAAAACACAGGAACCTGATTCTGCTATATAAAATATAGGAATTCAATTATTAGAAGCATCCGTCTTTACATTTCGATTAGTTATATATTGGGTCTAAAAACCTTTGTTGTTTGGAAATAAATTGGAGTGTTAATCAAAAACTACAAGAGATTATGGTAAGGTGTCGCGGACATAAGCATCAAAAGCCGGTTTAAGGTAGTGGAGGCCAATTATCGTATTATCCTGTCCACAATGTTTGAAACTAATATAAAAAACACGAAACAAGTTGAGGGAGACCGAGGATAAGAGTGTGAAATGAAGTGAAGTGGGGATGGAAGACAAAAAGAAAAGGGTACCAAAAACGCTTTTTTCACATGTTTTGATGTTTGGGTTGTTACGTAGTGATACAATTGCCACCACTCGACATGTCTCTTTCTCTATTGATGCCTCAAATCTTACTTATTTGGTCTATTATCTTCTTCTTTTATATTATTAAATGATGTGTTGTTGGTTTTATTTCTTACAATTATCTCTAGACTTGATCTCCATGAAGTCACAACATTTAACGTCAATCGTCGTCATTGAATTTTTCAGTTTTAGATATTTGTGACACATAAGAAAAATGGCATCGTGTCGCCATCGCAAATTAAAATATGAATAATATTTGAAAAAGTATGTAATGTCAAACTTCATTTGAACGTTATTTCCTCGTATTGGTGTTCGGTAAGAGGGCTTCTTCTCTCGTACATATATTCTAATATTTTACAGAAACACCAGGCGAATCTAATCACACTTTTATACAATAACAGAGAAAAGAAGCGCATGATAGAGTCAAGAGAATGTTTAAGTCTTTTTTCTAAAAAAAAAAAAAAAGAGAATGTTTAAGTCTTGTCCTCTCTGTTTTATTCTTTATCCCCTAGTTTACCCACTAGCACTTTAATTATTTGCGTCACTTTTTTCCATGTCACTTTCAGGTAGCGAATCTTTCATTTATTCAGCATCGTGAACTTTTTCTTATCATTCCATAAGGACAAGAAAAGAAGAAGAAGAAGCAAATGTTTCGTCACTGTTACATAACAGATAATAACACAGCTGTCTTTTATGATTGGCCAGCTAGCTTGAAACGCTCCTCTCAGATTACTGTCATATAACGGTCGAAATATGCCACGTCATGCAATATTATTCCTCTATCTCTATGTATATATTTGTCCTCTTGTAGAAACGCTTTACTGAACTATTTTTGTAACTCAGGTGTGGTGAGTTAGAGACAACGAGGCCCATAATGAACATTGATGACCCAAGGGGCTTGAGAAGATGCCGGAGAAAATAGAGCGGCCAATCGAAAAACTTCTTAATAAGTTTAGTAATTTCGACCACTGCGGAGAAAGACTCTCTTTCGTTCGTTTGCCGGCGACCGTTGTGATAAACGGCACAGAGCAGGGCCGGCCCTGACCTAAAGCATGTAAAGCATCATGCTTTAGGCGCCAACAGATAATAAGATTTTTAGGGCGCCAAAATAACAAATGTCTTCAATAGCGTGTTGGTTATGTCATTGATTTGAGGTAGAAAGGTCGCGAGTTCGAACCATTTTAATGACAAAATCGCTTATTTTTTTATAACAGTGTTTTATGTGGGCAAAAAAAACATTTTTGCTTTAGGCGCCATACTGGGTCGGGCCGGCCCTGGCACAGAGTTTGGTCGTATCATATACAAAGATCTTGTATTAGGGTTAACAAAATAAATATAGAAGTGGTTGCACTAATTGTATAGAGCTATAGATTACGGCCAATGCTTGCACAAGTGTTAAAGAGAAATCTCCAAATTATTCACAAGACATATGATGGTGGAGATGGTGCGTATTAGTGACGATCCTATCATCAATTCCATCTAAAACCTCATATTACAAATGATGCTGCTGCTTAATACTTCTTTTTCGGGTTTTGTGTGCTCCCTAATAATTACGAAATATGAAGACACATCAACCATGTAATGTCACAAAAAATCGCTTCCCTCGTTGGTTTTGTGCAAGAGTTTTGTCTTCGTGTCTCCAACATTCTGTCAAGCTATTGGATCTCTCCATGCGAGCTTCGAATTGACTTCAACGCTCTCTTCCGCTATTTTCACCTGCATTGCTTTATAAAAACAAGGGGAAAAAACAACTCTCCAAAATTCAGCGACTCCATGTTTCTTGAAAATGTAACTAAAAAATCATTTATATAACCACACTTTTAACTAAAACTTTGTCACACCTACAGTGTAATAGTTAGGAAACTGTATGTCTTCCCACACTGCTATTGTTCTATCTTGTTCAACAAGCTATTGTCCTATCTTGGATAAGTCTTCCTACAAATTTTGTTTATTTTCTTCAAAGAAAATCTTCCTACAAAGTTTTGTTGGTGAGAAGTATACCTTCTGCGTTTGGTCTTTGAGACGGTGGAAGAAGATGGATTGCTATGCCAATTCCTCTTTCTTTGATTGATGAACCAATTGTTTATCTGTTTGAGCTGCAAACCAGTTTCCTGCACCAACCTCGCCTTGTCTTCCTCCTGCCAAAAGTCAAATCAATCATTCAAAATTAGGAGACTGAAAAGGCAATAAAGTTGCATAGCGTGTTCATTTGAAAAACATGAGTCGCACAAGTGATTGAAGAAGTATAGAGAGAGAACTCACAGTAGGGTAAGGCCACTTAGAATGAGACTGCCACCAAGCTTTGAGAACAGAGGTGGTGTCTCCTGGTAACTTCCCAGCTCTTCTCTTCCTCAGTATCTCCTCTCTTATGTCTACAATTTTCTCCTTGTAACCCTTTCACATAAACATCGTTCTATATCATTAGATCAAAATAACTCTAATGTTACACGACCAAATTTCTCACTAAAGTTTTGTTTTAAACAAGTCTCAGCCTCTCAGGTGAGGTGATTATACGTATATGTTGCATTGTATATAGACCTCACCAAACAAGCTTTCTTTAGAAAAATCTTGATTGATTATTATAAGCAATCTAACTTAACAGATCATACAATGTGTAGCTACCTGTTTGAGTTCATGTTTAAGTTCTTGTCTGACTCGTTCCATCAATGATCTCTCACTCTCAGTAGGAACCAGAGGACCAAACCCTAATCCATCTAAGCTTCCGTCAAACAAATGAGCATCGCTCTCTACTTGCTCATCTTCATCCTCAGACATTGTTGCTCCTGTGCCTTCACCAGGAGACACTCCTGTCTCACCCAAACAAACAAATGTAAATCCGGTAGCATATATAGCAGAATTGAAATGAAAATCAAAATAATACAAGAGTTAGCACAAAATTGCTAAACGACAAATTAACTTTAAATTTCAAAAACAAACCTGTAAAGCTTTGGAGAGACTGCTCAATCTCCCAACAAGCCATAACAGCTTCCATTGCATGAACACGAACATGCTGTTGCAACTGTTCTTTGAAAGAGCACAATAATAGTACATAATGCGTCTGCCATAAAAACATGTGAAATTTCTTTCAGACAACAGATACAAGTAGAAAACTCCAAGACATTAGAGTATTAAACGAAAATAAATTTCAAAAAACAATAGTCAAAAGTATATTATACATGGGATACACCGATACAGACAGAAAATGACAAACTATTTTATGTAGTGAATTTTTCTAACAAAAGCTATCTCAAAGTAAACCTTCTGTTGTCAAATTTTAACTGTTCAAAACTAAAATTCATATGCTAAACTGACGAATTATCCGCCCAATCCTATGTGTCGGTGCAAAGCAACAAGTCAAGTACAAATATACGAAAGAAATTACTAATTTCCTTTACTTCTCTAGTAAAATCTGAAATAATAATCAATTTTCAGTTTTGTCAAACCGTGTGACTATAAACTAAAAGACAAAACGAAATTGTTGATTTCGTTACCGGAAGAGATTAAACCATTTCTGAGAAAGGGAATAAAATAAAGGAAATAAATAAATAAAAATTGAAATTTGGTGAGAAGGAAGGAGAAGTTAAGTACCATGAAGTGGTCAAGCTCCTTTTCATCGCCGGCGACGAGTCCTTGAGCAGCAGAGTCTAGGGTTGAGTACTTAGCCACAACGTTCTGCGACTGAGCGAGCTGTGCGTCGATCCTCGGAAGCTGATCGACCGGCGTAGCGATCCTCAGGCACGCCACGTGTGCCGACAAAAGTTGCTCGTACAGCGGATGAGAGAGTATCTCCGACTTGTGCCTCGCATTCTGCCATCTCTCGGCCTCCTTCTTCTCTCCTATCATTGACTCCTCTCCGCCTGTGACTTCGTCGATGACATCACCTGAACCGGCGTTGTTGTTGTTGGCGCCGCCGCCGCGTTGGAGGAAGGAGGAGGATCGTGAGAGCCACTGGCTAGCAGGGGCGGAGGAAGGAGAATCGGAGCTTGTAGCAGCGGCGGATGCGGCGGTGTGGAGGTTGAGGAAATTGTTATCGGAGCGGAGGAGCCAATTAGGCGGTGTGGATTCGTGAAAATGTTGTTGCTGCTGCGGCTGAGGAGGAGGAGGAGGCTGGTGGTTTTGGTCGGTGAAGTGATTGAAGTGATTATGATGAAACGCCATCTTTTTCTTTTTGAATTTCTGTGTTGGAGAGGGAAAGTTGGAGAAAGAGAAGATGAATTCTCAGCTTTGACGATTTTTTTGTTACTTAGTGTTCAGATTTAAAGAAAAATAAGGGTTTTGGTTGTGAATGTGTTTGAATGTTTGAATTTTATGTGTGTGTGTGTAGAGAGTTTTAGACCAAAATGATCGAGACGTGCAAAAAGACGATTTATTCCTATATTTATTCTTTTTTGTTAGTTACTGTATATCCTTTTACCAATTATTTGTGGTGACAATAATATGGGATTAGGTCTACATTTTAACATTAACTGCGTCAACAAAAAAGTTTTAACAAGATGGTGGGAGTTGACGGCAAAAGAATGATAAGATATTATTGTACGAAATGCGGTAAAAGGAAAAGTATCGCACCACTTTTTCTTCTCATCCCTGTAATCAATTCTTCTTATATTTTCTCGTGTGCTAATTTTATTTTATTTTCTAAAACGTTTCACTAAGCAGAGTTTATAACTTTATATGGGACTTTCTATTTTCGAAGAAGTTATATATAGGATTCTCATTGTGTCTTCATATATCTTGTTTTGCTTTATATGAGTCTTTCATATATTAGATTTGTCTTCATTTGCATATATCCTTATCTCTTAGTACATATATAGGTGGTGCAGCGTTAAATTTAAAAATTTGTATATTTTTCATCTCTTCACTCTTCAGAGAAAAGGTAACGTAGCAAGCAAAATTTAGTGGTTTACCACTAATCAATCTATAAAGATTTTGGCGCATAGTTAATCATCTGAGTGAAAAGAAATTTGTTTAGAGATCATGAATAGTCGTAAACGAAATTAAGCAAAGAGGGAGGGGACCATTAGCGACGTCATTACTCTCGGCCAAAAATATCGGAGGACACGTGTCGAGATAAGCTTCCACTAGCTGTGGTCCCTTTAGAAATGGCATGCGATCGGATAAGAGAATCCAGCCGTACAATCAAATCTACACTATTATTTGTGTTAGAGACCAATAAAGTAAAAAAGAAAAAAAAAAACATATACAAGAAAAATTAAGAGAAATGGGACCAATTTCTGAAATTTGACTTCTGACTTAAGCTCGTAGTTGCTGTCTAATCGAAAGTACGACAAATTTAAGAGTCCCATCAGAAAACATTACTATTAAAACTGGAATATTTAAATTTGGCATGAACTCATGATTTCTGATAATAAACATTTAACTGAATTACTGAAGAATGCCATGTTTTATATCGCGTTATCGCCGCCATTCATCATCAGAAAGTGTTGTATGAGATTAGGTTTTTGGTAGTCTTTCAGTTTTCTTTTGTATATTATATAGATTTTTGTAACTTTTTGTCTTCCGTGCGATACACGCGAGAGCCGATGAAGGAGACTTAAACCACAACAATCCAAATATGAAAACAGTAAGGTGAGTGAGTATCAAGAGTAGACTAAAGAGTAAAGACATGTGTCGAGCAAACATCCGGTGTGGTAAGGTCTACGTTTCGTGTGGAATCAACTAACTCTCGATTGGACAAAGGGAGTCACATTAACGATCACAGTCGTCCATTTCGCAACCACTCTTGTCCCCACACATTTTGCACCAGAAACGACGAAGTGCCCTACGTACGTCCCACGGCTCTTACTTATTACCCCTCAAATAATACTGATTTTCTTTCATCCAAAAAAAAAACTTTTGATTGTTTCAGATTGCAGTCTCTTACCTTAAGGTTAATGAAATACATAACTACAAACAACATTGTAGATAAGAAAATTTTGTGGATTTTGGCGACATGCATTGAAGTTTTGCACCTTGAGATGACTGGTTGAACGACCATCATGTATCGCTTACTAATTATTCACATCTACAAACAATCCTACGAATTTGTTTGAAGTTGGATTTGGACCTACTTTTATTTAATGTTTCGGACCAATATAAGAGTAGAATCTCAATCAGCGACTTGTGCTGTCCATGTTAGCGACAGAAACAAAATCATTAATTAATACTAGCAACTAATTTAGTTATTAGGAATGTATGTGGTGATCTTAGAGATTGGATATATGACATGTCAACCATCGATAAATGTGGTGGTCTTTTGTTTTTCAACAAAAACGTCAGTGCCTTTTTTGTGACTAAGAGAATTTTGGGTTAATAGCGTTACCTAGATCATTCCAAATATTGCGTAACCTAAGTTTCCGATTCCATCATCAATTGAGAGGGGGCATTTGCGGTTTCGACAGATTAATATATATGGTTCTGAATTCCTCAATTAACCATAACAAGTTCAAGAAATCTAACAATATAGACAACGTACGTTAACATCAAAGCGTTACTAGTTAAAAAAGCACATAAACTTTATTTTATTATTATATATAAAATTAAGAAAGAGTAGATGAGAAAGAACATAGGAAGCTCTATGCCAGGTTTGTGGATGAAAATGATGGAACGTAAAGGATGTTTTCTCTTCTTCATTTCAATTTATTTGGACACTGCCAAAGTTTTTTTCTTCATTTTTTTGTTTTGATAAAAACACTGCCAAAGTTGTTCCTCCAGTGACTTACTTTTTTATTTATTAACGCATTACTCGTAGGCCCAAACCCTCCATGATTTAAAAATATATGAAAATGATCATGTCACATAATAGAGAAAGGACTGAAAAGTTAGAAACAATTCAACCCAATAAAAAAGGAAGAAGATAGAAACGTTTCAAAGTAGACAAAGTCACAAAGCAGAGAAAAAGAAGAGTGATTTGGCCCCGCGTGAGTGAGCGAGAGAGAACGATTGGGATTATCCACAATTCTTTGGTTCTTTTTCTTACTCACATTCTTTGGTTCCGGAGAAGACATTACTGAGCTGACCGTTAATTTATTGTGCCAAAAGAACTGAGCATTTTTAAAAAGAAAAATAGTAATTGATGGAAAGAATAATTTTAAACGATTTTTAGTACAAATTAGCGAAATGAATTGTTAGGACATGTTATACAATCTTTTCATAATGGCATGTTAACATAAGAGAGGCGTATATTTGTCTGCTTCTGTTATTAAACCCCCAAAGTTAGGCTTTGTTCACTTCAAAAATTGGACCACAGACAACAGAAAAGAAGAAGCATTTTCAAAATGAAATTAAATTCTGTAATGGACCACTTCTCCACTCTTCTGCGTTCATCTTCAATGCTCCTCTGTCTTGTCTGTATCTCTCCACATTGTGTGCTTACTTTTAGTTATGCATTTGACATCTATTTGGGAATCTTAGGCCAATCTGATATAGCATCTAGTTATCTCTTTTTTCACTTTCTGGTTTCATTTCGCTTGGAATCCAATGTGACACAATTTGTAGTCAGAATGATGTATACAATATTTGGGAATTGGGGGTCAACAGTTTTGGTTGGATTACATTCTTGCTTCTCAGGATCGATGTAAAACCAAATTACTTTGCAAGCTCAAAATGTTTGTTTGTTTTCATGAACGAACTAGACTATTACAAACTAGACTATTAATAAACTTGACAGCCATTTAATTGAGAATGCACCCGATTTATATAATTACATGATTATACATGCATGTGATTTTAATTAACTAATAAATTTGAAATATAAAATTAATTTACCAAATTGTACTACGAATATCATTGATAGGCTATTGATGGCCCATATTAAGCCTTTGGACGGCCCTCTTTGCCACGTCTAGTCAAAGTTACTCTTGAACAACCCGAACGTGAGTATCGATCGTCGTCGAGAGTTATCAACGGCTCTGTTAAGGACACGTGGTACCGGCACAGACGCTTTAGCTGAAACGCTGCGTTTATATCCTTCCGTTGACTTATTTTTTTCGCCAAGTGGAATTTAAGACAATGAATATTTGATTTTTGACAAAAAAATAATATTTGTTCTCGAGTTTTTTTTAGTAACGTTCTTGTAACGTTCAGATGGCCAGAATTTTAAGTAGATGTAGTGATCGACATTGAAGACAACGTTTTGCCTCACAAATTTTGCAAACGTCAGAATCAATCTCACTTTAAATTAAATCATAAATATATATTTTTAAATCGATAACCATTTGGTAAAAGAAAAAAGTGGACTATTAATCGTAGCACATAACCCAACTTATTTAGATATGAAAAAACCTCGGATATGAGTCATAACATATAATAAGCTGTAAGAAAGAAAAGAGTACTAAGAAAAAGGAATGATCAAAAATCGAAAATGACAAACGATGATCTCATATCACATATGATCATAGGTTAGCTAGAACAAAGGGAACCAAATGTTGCTAACTCGAGCAGAACCAGAGAGCATCTCTATGAGATCCAATTCTCTTATTTTGCTAGTAGAGTTATCTTGGGGCGCAAACAACTCATTTTCGCTGCAATGCTCTATGCTGTTGGAAGACATAAAAGAAGATGAAGAAGACGACGCCGTACCGTTCAACAAATCAGACAAGTAGATATCAGACGCGAGGTGGGAGGTATTCGCAGGATCTGTGACCACTGTTCCATGAAGAATATTGCTGTTCAAGTTAGGTTTAGGGTTAGGGCTCTTGAAACTGACCGCAGATGAAGAAGACGAGATTATCTCGAGACTTTCGCTCAAACCGATGTTCTCGAGGGACATCGGATTGTTCGCAAAGATATTTTTCAGGAAAACAAGCTCTTCGTCATAAGGATCATGCAGGAGCGACAATGTAGAGGTAGAGCCTCCGTCCGAATCTAGATTCGAAGTAGCAACAACATTATTACCACCAGTAGTGATGATCTTCTCGCCATTTTTCTTTTCATTGCACTCGATGCTTCTAATATAGTCTTGGAGAATGCATGGCCTTTTCGCTGGTGGAGAGAGATCATCCGTATCGCTGTTACTATCCGCCTTTTTCGAAACCTTGTGTTTGCGTTTTGAGTTTTGGCGTCTTTTGGTCGCATTCCAATGGTTCTTGATAGAATTTTCGGTTCGTCCTTGTATGAGTTTAGCGATCTCTGCCCACTTATTCCCGATCCTGGTGTGTGCTTCCACAAGAACCCTTTCTTCTTCTTCGCTCCAGCTATTTTTCTAAATAAAACAAAAGAAACAAATATTTTGATATATACAAGATTCCTCATACATTAGAACACTGATCTATATATATATGAAAAGTTGGAACCTTAATATCAGGACGGAGATGATTATGCCATCTCTCGCGACATTGCTTGCCTGCTCTTCCTTCAAGCTTCTCCGAGATTATTGCCCATTTCCTCTCTCCATGTTGCATCACCAACTTTATCAACTTCCTATACATATATGTATATGCAAACACTGAATTATAGGTATATGAATTCGTATCTAGAAGCATGAGAAAACGACATATACATCTATATACCTGTCTTCTTCGACTGTCCATTGCCCTTTGATGAGATACTTGTGTGGTTGCTTCTTTGTTATTTCCTTGCAAATAGCACTCTTTTGATAGTCTCTAGTTTTGCCTTTCATGATCATTTCTCCAATAACGTTTGGGTTTCCACCATCTCCGATCAAGTGTTTCACCTTCCTGGGACCAAACATCGTGTTCTCTTTGTCGTTTCTGATCTCAGTTTCCCCTATCGTTTCCAAGAGCGGTTGGTGTATGGATTGATCATGTTTCTTGGAACAAAAGGCATCGTTCTTTTGGCCGTACAAGAATCTTTCTACGGCAGTCAGCGGCGGTGCAGCTCCGTGGACGCGGTTCTTTTCTTGCATTCTCCGGTTTTCCATGGAAGAAGAAGAAGAAGAAGAAGAAGAAGAAAGAAAATTTAGTGAAGAATGGAGAGGACAGCCAAGAACACAAAGGAGGGAGAGAATTGAGCTGGTTATAAGGAATATGAGAATTTAATGCAAGGGTATATAAATTCACACTAATTACCATTTTTATTCCGTTAGCTATATTGACTTTTTAAGTAAAAAATAAACCTTTTTAATTGCGAGCTTCGTCTCTTTTCGACTATAAAACCAAACTGTAGTGTACGACGAGTAGAAGCTGGCGGGAAAGCTAATCTCATAGGTTGACTGTTGAGTTGAAAATTTTGTAAGTTCGTAACCGAAGAAGAGATATATGGAAAGACAATCAATAATTGCATTTATACATGTAATAAAGTAGTCAGTTGACTACAATTATTTGGAAGAATAAAATTTAGGAGCAATCTAAGTCCCAATAAATTAAAAATGTTATTTGAAAAATATATTCTCAATAACCTTACTGTTAAAATAACATATCACATTTGAACAAAATATATAAGATGAGCACGAGCTTTTTTCTTTCTTTTCTTGTATCTTAAATATTTTAAACAATCGTAACGTTTTCCACATTGAATTGTAGTAATAATGTATTTTCTTAGCTACTGTTTTTAGCATCCCATTTTTTTTTTAACTCTAATCTGTGTCTGATTAAAGATCAAGACAAACTAAATAATTTTGTAAAGAAAAAACATGTAATACATAAGTTTCTCCTCTCCTTTTTACTCTGTTAACGAAATTCAGCCAAGTAGCTTTGTTTAATATAGTTACATATTCTGGATATGGAATCGTTTGCTACATAGCTAACAATACCAGCTTTACTTAGTTTGGCTCAGGAAATAATCTTAAGCGTCCATTATTATCAATCACTGAGCAGAGGAGTACAAACAATTACTTTGAGAAGAGCGGTCTCAGAACTGAGGCCGTAAGATTCCAAAAGCATACATATGCATGATGATCGTAAAATACTCTCTAAGGTGAAACACAAACACACAAGCAGCACATATATATTAGACCCATTACTCAAAACCAGAACTTGAAAAACTGATCCTTGTCAAATAAACAAACAGAGCAAAATGCTCAGTGACACGGATCACAGTGCCCCTCCAGCGACACGGACATGAAAAGGCGGTCCACGACAAAAGATGGGCTCGTTTGGAGACGCCGTTCGTGCTCGTGCTCTGAGCACATTGTTCGCATCTTCAATCACAGCCGCTGCAACCATCGTGTACTCACCAGGAACAAGGAAGTAGAGTGAGAAACTGTGTCTTGCTTCTTGCAGCGGCGCTACTTCCATTGAAATCCCACTCAGTGCACCTGCCAAAAAGAACACGTATAAACAGCTATAACTGAGGCAAATATCTATATGTTGTACGCAAGTTTCAAAACTTTAATGTCTCGATGATATGCAAATTTCGTGTCTTTTGCTGCAAAGCCAAACAAAAGAAGGTAGATGAAAAATTACCAGCCCAGAGGACAGTGGCATCAGCTCCTTCAGCGCAGTTTTGCCCAGCTACGTCTCTGCAAGTAACACTTAGATTCAACTTGATTGCTTCGCTTGTGTTATTGCGCACCAGAACCTCCATAGGAGTGACTTCATGTGACAGAACTGATCCCTTTGACGACGGTGACTCGGCCTTTATCTCAGAATCTGTCTCCGAACCGTTTCTGACCAGTCTGAAACCAAATGTTAGCGGATCTGGGAGCAAAACATCCATCACGGTCGTCTGGAGAGCCGTCTGAATTGCATCCTTTATGTCCAGTTCTCCGGAGCTGTTCCTTCCCGATTGCCACCTGACTTTTATCTTAGAGATGAGGTTCTTGATCAAAGCATTTATCTCAGCTTTCGTGTTCTTCTCTGAGAAGCTCGGATGTCTACTACTTGTAGGGCTACCACCAGGCTGAGGGTCCTTTGTGAAGAACGAACCGTCGAGAACCGGTAGCTTGAAATGCTCCAATGGAATTAGCACCCTAGCAGAATAGTCTCGGTCGATTCTTGTTTTTGGGTACTCGTACTCTGGAGAATCTTGGACTGGGGAAGAATCACCTTCCTTGGCAGGATTTTCCAGCTGGACGAAGACGCTGATTTCAAAAACAACGTCTGTTGGGTTAGATAACTCGAGTTCAAGAAACCGTAAGCCCCAGCTTCCCCTAAAGGGATTTAGCTTGACAAGTCTGTCTGTATTGCTCTCTGTTTCAGTGTCTTCATCCCGAAGGTTGTCACTCACATGTGCAGGGATTTCCATGGATAGCAAACGAGCTTTCACAAAAGACAAGCCTTGCAAAACACATATTTGTAACGGGACAACAAGACGTCTACCCGGTGGCACGACAGATTCTTTATCCTGGGCGTCTCCATTGTTAGACAACGGCCCTGCAAAAGATATGAATACAGAAATGCTTTTCGAAATTAGTCACCGTAAGGCAATATGACGCACTGCAAAAGTCAGATGAAGAAAGCAGTACCTGCATAGTGAATAAGCAATGAAGGGCTGGTTCCATCTTTTGGTCTTCCTGCATTACCCGCAGCGTTCCTGCTACTGCTAATACCATTGTCCGAATCTACTGGTCCAACATGCCAAGCTTTTAAAGTCACAGGCAGAGTCACTTGTGCCCCGGGTTTCAAGGGAAGAGCAGACTGTAAAGCTTCATCCGCTATAGAGATAACAGCATCCTGATTCTTTCCAGAGAGCGAGACATGTGCCTGCTCTATTGGAACTGTGCCAGCATTTGCAAAATTTATACACACCTCACGGATTTCACCTTCATACAGAATAATCGCACCATCACCACCGACAACATTAGCCACAAGGAGGGGCAATGGCGGTGCAACTGAAATGTTAGGAACAAATACATGCCGTAGCTTTGCAGATCCACAGGATCTGAAAGGGTCAGAAAATACGAGCCCTTGTGCTGCTCCAAGAAGCAGATTGTCAACATCCCTGAAGACATGTTCAGTGATTACACCAAAGCAGTGAACTGTGCAGCCCGGGATTGTCACTGGTCCTACTGCTGTTGGTATACCAGATAACGTGATCACCTTTGCGGAGTTAGGGGGAATGTCCACACTGACAGGAAACGCATCGAAGTTTTTTGAGTGAGCTGAGAGATAAATACTATCAACCCTTAAATCGAAGCAACATGGATTTGCTAACTCCACTAAGACCTGAACTGGTTCCCCAACCACCCAAATCAGTTCCTGCTTGCTACTTTCGTTGGCATCTCCTTTGCTGAAAGGAGTATAGATAAATGGCCCCGAAGGAGCAGATCCTGTCCACCAATCCTCTCTTGCTGGATTGCGTTTTACGATGTCCACTTGAGAGGAATGGAGGGGGAAAGAGAATAGCCTGGAATATAAAAAATGTTTAAACAAACCATAATCGATTTTTGGAAGAGTCAGCTACCAAGAAAATATGGGACAAGATTTTGAAATACATATACACATTGCGAATATATGAAGCCACTAAATGGATGAGAAGTGATTAGTGGTCTAATCTTGTTGCTTTACTTGGAGTGTGAGGAAGTTTGACATGATCAAGTAAGGTTGTATCATAATGGTAAAAGAATGCACAAGGCAAAACATCCCTGTAAGGGAAAAAGTTGACTGCTGATAAACATACCTTACAAATGGCAAGGCAGGGTCAGCACAGCGAGTTCCCGAAGGCAATCTATCCGCTGAATTTGCAAGGGAATTAGCAAGTCCATTTTGACCTGAAGGTGTAATTAGAGGATAATGCCACCTCAGAAGCCTCGCTGCAGCACTCCATGCAGCAAGGGGATCTCCAGCGCGAACAGCAGAGAGGAGTATCTCCCTAAGCACAACCATCTGCAAAGTGCTCCACTGAGACTCAAACAGGGAGACAATGGAATGATGATGCATTTTCCCAGCATCAGGTTGACGCAATCCAGTTTCCTTTACCAACAAACACAAGAGAAAATATAATAATTAATAAACATCAATGTATATTACGTAAAGAAACACCAACATAATGAACGGCGATGATGCCCAAAAAAACCCTATGGCAAACCATGTTTATGAAGAAGGCTCAATCTTATGCCGCCAAACTTACATTGTTAACAGAAACTTTTGACACGGATGCTCTACTTTGGATTCTATATGCATCGGTTGTCATGGAGAGAACTTGCATGGCACTGATAGCCGCCAATCGATTGTCTTGCTGCAAATACAATTGGGCGACCTGCCTACAGAAGAAGGCTGCTTTCCGTTGATAACCAAGTGCTCCAAATAAACGAGCTACTTCAACATATAATATGAGCCTATCACTGGCATCAATTAGAGACTTTGCACCATCAGCAGCATTTGTTAACAGCTCTACTACTTCCTTAGCCAGTTCTCTCCTGTACAACCCATAAAAATGGCATTGTAAGAAAGATTAAGATCAGATAAAACCTTAAACATAAGCAACATACTGGAGGGCAACAAAGAAAACTTCCACGACAATTTATAGAAATAGAGAGCATACAATGATACCTGCAAAGGAATCTGGCCAGTTTAAGGGTAGCTTCGAGTTCAAAGCTTAGAGGCGAAACTCTGCAAATAAAAGAATTGATCGCTATTTTGTAGAAATAAATGTACTGAAGAAGATCGCCAAACAGGTAATGTGTTGAATTACCTCTGAGAAATTTCTTGAATAAATGACTTTCTGTAGTGTAAGATCACATTAGTGTATCGATATTTAACTTCATCTTCTAAAGCACTATCCCGTTGACCCATCCGATCTACCTAAATTTTAAGAAAATAGAAAACTAAGATGATTGTAAACTATAATAAAGAGAGGACAACTTCATATTCAGTGCATTTCAGATAAACAGCACATTCACTAACTAGGTTTTTTAGCTATGATACTATCAAAAATGTAAGAACAGTGCATTTAGAGTTTAAATTGCATAAAGCCTTACCAGTAAGGCACAAACACTGCCTTCCAAGGCACCCCCATACCAGAAGTAATCTCCTGTCAATCTGGCCAGTTCCAGAGCAGTGGAATAGTGAGCATTGGCATCAACAGGTGAACCAGCCAGCAAGGAATAGTCTCCTATAGTTTTTTGTGCACGTCCCAGCCTACGCTTTTTGGCCTTGATAACCTACATTACACTAAAACTAATGAGCCCAGAAGAAATATGGTAATAGTTGCAAGCTTCCACAGGTAGAAATGAAGCGTAGACTAAATTATAGGACACCTAGACATAAACCTCCTCTGAGTTGAGACTAGCTTGGGAATCCAAAGGCGTCTTCAAAATTGTGCCTGCAGATTCCGCCTGTAGAACCCACTTCTCAAATTCCATTAACAGCGAAGCCGCAATGTCTTGCATCATTGTTTGTAAATGGAACTCCTGAGTTTGCTTGTCAGACGGAGGAAACAAAATCAAATTTTCACCCTTCTTGTCTCCATCTTCAAGCTGCAAAAGACAGTACATTGATCATCAAATCGCCAATCCAACACATCCAAAAGCCAGTAGATAAAGTACTTGTACAAAATAGGAAACTAATCACTGTATTCGCAGGAAATACATAACCATCACTATCAACTAGAGTGGACTAAGTTCACAATGGAGAAAAAAACAGAAAACAAGCTAGCTAGATCCATTCGTATTGAGCGAAGCTACACTAGCAGATTCGCAGCATCGAAATTCAAAAATGAAGAGGAAACTGAGTCTGAAATACTTACTTGCGAATCGCCGGGGCAGAACGCGAAGCAGCGGCGGACAAGAGCCGAAGAATAGCTCTTACACGCGACATTGAAACTTTCAGCGACGGAAATGAGATCAGGGGAAGAAGGGCAGTGACAAAGGCCGATCACGGCGAGCATCTTCCGGTTAGACTGGAAATCCTCCCAAGGACTCGGCGGAGAACCACCGAGCACAAATTTGAACCGGAGAGAGCCGGAGTCCCAAGGCTGATTCGTGAACGGAGATTTCTGGTGCTCAGTGTAGAAGGAGCTGATAGCAGAGAGCGCGATCGTATGGTGACGTAGCAGCATCGAGTGGTAATCCCGGAGAAGCGCCGGAGGGATAGTGCCGATCGGGAGGACGGCGATCCGGATGACCGACAAGGTCTCGATGCTGACGTCAGGTTCCATGGCGGGGATCAGAGGAGAGGTTGAGCCAAGGAAAGATCTTTCGGGTGAGGGAGAGTGCACCGGATCTGGGGGGAGACTGGGAACGAGAGAAAGGTGAGAGAACGTGGTCTGTTTGGAAACAAGTTTTATCGTATTTTAAATTTAAATTGGCGATTTTGTGGGGTCAGGCTATTCATCTAAACAAACAGCCTATTAAAAATCGCGATTACAAATTCATTAACGAAACAGAGGCAAATTGAAAAAAGTTTCGAAATTTCTTAACTTGAAGCGGCTTCGCGATAGCTAAAGAGCAACTTTGATCCAGTTATGGCGTCGCCGACTATCCGGAGCTCCGAGTCTGAGGAGGTTTCTCGCCGTGTACGAGAGCTTTTAGCTTTGTGCTTCAGCGTAAGCTTCTCAACTTCTTCTCCTCGCTTCGGGTTGTGTACTTTGTTTCTGGGAAATTTTTCTAATTGCTTCGAGCTCGATGGAATCCTTTTCAGCCTCGGAATTTGGATCAATATTGAAAAAAAAATCAGCTTTCCGCTAATCGGATATAGGATCGAGTTTTAAGTATTGTGGTTTGATTTTGTGTTTTTCAGTCAGTTGAAGCTGGAGGATCTCAAGAGTTGGAGGGCTCGGTGAAAGAACTTGTAGACTGTCTGGATTCATTGTTCGAGAACGTAGCTTCAAATTCCAGCGATGAGCTGGAGACTGATGATGTTGTTCAAGTTCTAGCTGAAATTTTGAAATTTTTATCATCACCTCAATTGGATCAGGTACTTTCTATCAGTTCTTAAATCACTTTGACAGGCAAAAATCATTCCTTAAGAAATTTGATGAAACTTATGGATTTTTCCCAACTGATTGTGTTACAGGACGTGATAGATGCACTGTCGTTTGAATTGCCAAAAGTAATTTTCAAGTTTGCAGACTTATCAAGCAGATGTCTACAGTTAGTTGAGGAAATCATTGATCGGCTTGTAGTAGCATGCAATCCCCGGGACATGCTTTCATTTCTTTGCGAGGTATTAGATCTGGATTTGGATTCTGATCAGGCTAGTCAAGGCAGTAAACTTACTACTATCGTACTCGGTATTTGGAATAGAAGATAACAAGTTCTTGTAATGGTTGAGTATTTTTTCAGGCACTTGATGCTGCACGGTGCTCTCTTTTGCCCTCCAGTTGTTCTACTCCTTTGTTACATGGACTCTCTAAAGGTATAAACTGAAGATTTTGCTTTTCGAGATATTTTAAAGTCTTAAAAAGTGACTTTTATTTTGGCACCTGGAATTTCAGCAATGTTTTTTGTTCTTGCATAATTCTTACATATTGGATGCCTCATGAATCCTTTCTTGTACAAAAGTATGAAGTTTTTGAGATTTTTTTTTTTTTTTTTGAATTCCTAACTTATTCAAATTTTCCTGGTTTCAGTGTTTATTTTGGTTCAGAGGCGTCACTACGAGCAATTAAAAGTGGCAGTGCCAGTTGTTCTGAACGTTTTGAAGGACATGTCATTGGAACCAGACGTGCAAGTTGAAGGTGTATTTGATAAGGCTCTAGCCATTGCCGTTTCAATTAGAGATGTTTCTTTGAAACTGGTCTGTAAGTGTGAAACATTGGCAATTGGGATTTTCCTAAATCACTACCCAAAGTGCTCATTCTCAAGTATGAATATTCCACTTGCCTGTTTTGATCTCGTTTCTTTGTTTTACAGAAGAAGGAAGAAGACACAAAAGTTCGTTGTTTGCTTGGTCTCTATGTGATACAGATAACGGTTTGTACTTCCTTCCAGCTTTGTTTCTATATGCCCTGGAATTTTGCTGACGCTGTTCTCTTATGAGCATATAGATTATCTTTAATACTTAGAGTTGGTCTGATATTGCAGGCTATTTTTTCAGTTCGCATCAGAGACAAAGTGGCCTCTTTTGTTCCTCTGGTGGTGCAGTTGGAACCTTTCTTGACATACTGTGGTTTAACACAACTTGGTTTGATCACGGGGAACGACACTGAAAGATTGATGAGCACGGTTGCTGGAGGTTAACCTCAATACTCAAATAATTTCTTCTTCCTTAACCTGCATCTTTTCTCGTATCACAAGCTAATTCGTCTCACGGTTGTAATATGAGCAGGTGATGATGATGATGATTTCCGCAGCTCTTTCCCTGACATCAACTTGGGTGCATCGCTTTTATTCATCTGGTCGAAGATCTCACCTGAGGTTGCAGATGTTGCAAATGCGGCTTTGAGAAATGATGTTTCCGAGCTTCAAAGCAACCCAGTGAAAAGGTGGCAAGCTTATGGGATGCTGAAATATGTACTCTCTTCTGGAGATCTGATCTGGGAATTCAAAAGACAGACTATTGAGTTCTTGCTTGACATAACCAAAGGAGTTACTCCATCTCAATGCAACGATGAGCAAATAGATTGTTCGGACTACACACCTAGCATCTACGCTGCTTTACAGGCATAATATTATTCTCTTTACTCTTTATATCGTTTAGGTTTACCAGCATTCTAAGTGTCTCATTTCTTTTTTCCAGGCTGTTACATTAGTGATGATGTATGCCCCAGAAGCAGCTCTGAGAATAAAAACGTTTGAGGCACTGAAGAAGGTAAATAAATCTTCTTTAGACCTAAACTCGTTATGAAGTTTTAAACAAGATTTTGGGTTTGTTTAAAGTTTAAACAGAGATAGTTATATGCTTCGTCTCACAATCTTTTTCTTTGTGCTGTTTGATTAGATTGTTTCTGATATTCCAGCTCCTCAGAGATTTGACATTTTAAGAGCCCTTGTGACAAATTCCCAGTCTCCCTCAATGGTTAGTATTTTCGTTTCCCCTTGAGCTTTATGAATAGTAAAGCATGTAAGACTTCATAGATGATGATTATGAAGATACACCTGTGCATGCGTTGACCATTCATAGTAATCTTACTGTGCTACTCCTTACTGTTTAATCTTTTGGTGTGATAACTACTGTTTCTGAAAAGTAAAAGATATCTCATTTCAGTTAATATTGTTTTGCTAAATCAACCAGACAGCGATCCTTCTGGGTCTACTTAAAGACAGCATGGGCCGCTTGCAAGCTACAGATCGTGCGACTGCTGATACGCATGTAATTGAGCTGGTTGAGTTGGTCTTAAAGCCTCCACAGGGTGGTCCTCCACACCTTCCGGACCAGAGTGATGCGGTGATCTTTTCTAACTCAGTCCTCTTTAAAAGAATATTTCGTTTCTCTCTTGTGTGCATCATATAAGCCCTATAGGCAATGCAATAGTATGAGTGTTGAGAGTAGTCTTGTGGGATGTTTGTACAGGTTATAGCAGCACTGAATCTCTACAGGTTTGCATTGATATTTGAATCGACAGGTAAAGTCTTTACTCAAAATGTTTTTCAAGTTGAATTGTACTTTGCTTTATAATATCTCATTCAAAGTAAATGGAGGAAACCAATTCTTAAGAATGTTACGAATTAGTATTTGAAAATATAAGATAGTTAACTACAAGTGTTTCTAATCAAAAGTTGGTGGATAGTTTTGTGTGTTTTGATATCTAGAAATATCTTGCAAGTCACGTGAACCAATCAGATATCTTTCTTGTGCTTGTCAGATAAAGAGAGAAACAAAGTAGGCAGTGAGGTTTTGTCAAAGAAGAATCTAGAGAAAGCCTATAAAGAGTGGCTTTTGCCTCTTCGAAATGTTGTGAGCTGCAGCATCGCTAAGAAACTTGAGGAGGATCAAGACCAGGAATCATCACTCGACACTGAATGCCTTCTTGTCCCACTTGAATCGGTTCTGTATCGATGCATCGAGCTGGTGGAAGAAATTTTGGAAAGTCACTAGTTCAAAACAAACAAAAAATCATGGGGAATATGCAAATGCTTCATGTTGTTGTATGCACACAGTTTTGTCATTTTTGGTTGTACTATAATTGACACTAAAGGTTTCGATTGCTTCAAACTCAATATATTTGTGAAATGCAATCACAAATGCAAAGAGTTCTCTTTCAAGCGTTAAGAGGCCACAACTACTGACCCACCGTGTTGAGGTTGATTACCTAATCTTCATTTACCTAAGAAGAAAGCAAAACTGTCTGTATAATGTTTGTTCACTTTACACACTGACATGATTCTCTCTTTCAAATACAAGTGGAAAGGATTTTTCTATTTCGCTAAGTATCTCAAAAATATCTTTTAACTTCGCAGATCGACCTTCAGTGGTCTCCACATGGAGTATTAAACTTGTTTTTTCATTTTTTAGATTCTATAACAAAAAGCATACCTTTTCAATTTTAATTTCTGATGGAGAGAGCTTCGAAAGTCAATTCTAGAATACTAGAACACTATAGACTTTTCATTTTGAAAAATGTAGATAAATAAATTCGTAGCATTAGAAAATCTTCATCATACCTCATACGTAAGTAAATCAACTTTGATTCTCTTAAAATTTTCCATAGATCTACTGAAAATTTAGTAACATCTCTTTACCCAAAAATGAAGTATATTTAAATATTTCTAAGGCTGTTTGAATTTGAACCAACGCCACGAGATTTACCTCACTATATTGACATATGTGTACATAAAGGCATGGCATGTATATATTTAGTCTACCACATCATATAAAATGATATATATTGTTTGCCTTAATACCAAAAACATTTTCCCTATCCGGACGAAATATCCGATATTCTTTCAATAACTGCTCCACCTCCAAAAATTCGTCCGAATCCTCTTGTCTCTTTCTTTTTACACTTTCTTGCAGAGAGGCTTCAACAATGGATAAATAAGAAAGTGAATATTTCTCAAATCCTCTCTCTCTCTCTTGCATTCAAACTTTCAAACTTCCTCTTCTTTCTTTGAATTACTCAATTTTTCTTCTCTTTTCTCTTAAAACCAATTCAAAGATATCTGTTCTAGATCTTACCAGTTCTTGGTGGGTTTTTGAAAGTGATCATTTTTGATAAAAAAAAATGAGGCAATTTGTTATAACAGTTCTTGTTTTACTACAAGCTTCTGCTCTTCTTCATCAATCCACATGTGTTGTGTTCCTCACTTCACAAGAATCTCCTTCTCCTCAACCTTCTGCTTTCACTCCCGACTTGTCTCCTGGTAAATTATCTCTTCTCTTTTCCTTCAATTTTAGTGTTTAGTCATTCACTTCCACTTACTTCCCATTTTAAATCTGGCTGAAAATTGGAAGAAAGAACCAAATTCTGGTTTGCTCTTGTTCCTCACCTCTGCATTTAATGATTATGCTACTTTTTTTCGTTATAACTTTTATCTTTTTGGTAGAAAGTAAAAAATAAAAATTCAAACTTTCTTCGTAAAGATCTTAGCTTTGTGGCGGAGTTTCCTCCTCTGGGTCACAAGAAATTTCCTCTCCACTCTCCCTTTTCATGTCCCTTCACTGTAACGCTTTTCTCTTGCCGCAAAATTCGAACTTCTCACACGATATCTCTCTTCTTGGTTTCCAAAGTTCCAATGAGTTTTTTGAATCTGAAGGTTTTATTGAAATTCTCATTTGGAGAAGCCAAATCCGAAACGATGAAAAAAGAATTAACTTATCTCTTCTAATTGGTGAATCAGGATTGCAACAGGGAGAGAAGGAATTGCATAGTAACAACATGAGGCTGGTGATTTCACTTGCAGCTGCTTTTTCCTTAGTTGGTATAATCTTAGTTTGCTCTCTGCTGTATTGGGCTTTCCATAAGAGAAGAAACCTCAAGAGCTCAGGTATTCCTCTTAGATCACATCTCTTGTTCATGTTCTTGATGATTCTGATACCTGAGAAAGTAATTCTTGAATGCACTGATTCTTTGATTATTGAAGCGGTTTGTACATTGTCTGAGTATTGTCTTGAATGTGCCAATTTGGGTTTTGAAGGTTGCGACTGGAGTGGAATCACATTCTCACGGTTCTTGAATCGGTTTAGTCACTCAAAAACATTCAAGAAGAGATCTACAAAGCCAGGAATCGTGTCGTTGATTGATTACAAGATCATAGAAAAGGCAACTAGTGGTTTCAAGGAGAGTAACATTTTGGGGCAAGGTGGATTTGGATGTGTATATCTGGCTACATTGGAGAACAACGTTCAAGCTGCGGTTAAGAAGCTAGACTGTGCCAATGAAGAAGCAGCCAAGGAATTTAAGGTGCATAAAAAAATCTATATTTTTGTGAAAACTCTTTCATGTTTTGTAGCTATAAACTCTTCTCATGTTTGTGTTGTTCTTTTGGAGAATTGCAGTGTGAGGTTGAGATATTGAGCAAGATCCAGCATCCGAATATAATATCCCTCTTGGGTTATAGCACGAATGAGACTGCAAGATTCATTGTCTATGAGCTGATGCCAAATGTCTCTCTGGAATCTCACTTGCATGGTAGGTACTAAAACCGATTTTACATATTCTTGCTGAAGTTGTTAGGATGAAATATTGAAAACTTTTTGGTCCATGTGCTTGTTGACAGGATCTTCTCGTGGTTCGGGGATCACAATCACATGGCCTATGAGGATGAAGATTGCTCTTGACATAGCAAGGGGATTAGAATATCTGCATGAACATTGCCATCCAGCGATCATCCACAGAGACTTGAAATCGTCAAACATATTGCTGGACTGTAATTTCAACGCTAAGGTAACAAATCGATGTTTACAGAAATGAATGTCATTATCTTTGTTTTTTTTGTTTCTATCTCAAGCTCTATGGCTTTTTATGAAAATGTAGATTTCAGATTTTGGTCTTGCTGTTGTGAATGGTCCAAAAAACAAGAACCTGAAACTTTCCGGGACAGTTGGCTACGTTGCACCAGAGTATCTTCTTGACGGTAATATTGATCTCTCAGTTCTTATGATAAGCATATCCTCCTCATTGCAATTCTTATTATTGAATGTTTTGTAAATGAAACAGGGCAATTGACAGAAAAGAGCGACGTGTATGCGTTTGGAGTAGTGTTGTTAGAGCTTTTACTCGGGAAGAAACCAGTCGAGAAACTAGGTCCTAGTGAATGCCAATCCATCATCACTTGGGTACATAACATTACATTACACATATAATCATCATACTATTGTTTCCTTCTAAATCACTTGGACTAGACTAGACTTGGAATCTTGAATTGTGGTTTCTTCTTCTTGTTGTCAGGCAATGCCTTATCTGACTGACAGAACCAAGTTACCAAACGTGGTAGATCCTGCGATCAAAGACACGATGGACTTGAAACATCTTTACCAGGTTAACTTAGTTTGCAAAACTTTAGTTGATTTTGCAAAGACATAGGTTTTTTGAGATAGAATAAGAAAAGCTAATGTGTGTGGAAAATGGTGTAGGTAGCAGCAGTGGCGGTTTTGTGCGTGCAGCCAGAACCGAGTTACAGACCGTTGATAACAGACGTCTTGCATTCTCTTATACCTTTGGTTCCATTGGAACTTGGTGGAACCTTGAAAATCATCACAAGATCTGCTTCCATGGATCACTGCTAAAACACACCATAGAACCGGTTTCCGGTTTAGGATTGACCGGTAGGTGGTTTTTGATGTGTACTGTATATTGATGGGATTGAAATTGTAACTGGAACATACATTTACAGTAACGAGTTTTTCATCTTTATGCCTTCTTAAAGAAAATCTTTATGTTGAAACTCTTTCGTCGTGTAAATGAGAGCATATCTTTTTTCTTTGTGCAGATAAAAAACAATTGAGAAATTATCTATAGTATTGTAAAAGTAATTCAATCATCATCTCTCATAGAAAAATTGAGCAAAAATGTCTTACAAAAAAGAAAAAAAAAAAAAAAAAAAAAAAATTAGGAGGAAGCTAAGACGTTGGAAGATAAATATGGAGATCTGTAATCTTTCACCTCCAAGAGACAAGTAGGCAACTGAATAGAGCCTTGCAATAGAAGATCAACTTTCTCAACTACATTCTCTGCAACTGGAGTGATCACATACAAGATTCCTCTCTCTGTGTCTATGCCCCTCACGATTCCTATTCACATCCCAAAAAAAACAATATGAATTAATACAAGTTTCAGTAAGCTTTTTCACGCCAATTCCAACGGATAAGAGCAACTTACCAAGGCCTACACATGAAGGCAAATCTTCAAACACATCGGAGCTAATGGCCAAGCCAACAATGGATGCATTTAAGCTATAAAGCACTTCAGAACTTGAGATCTAGAGAGATGAAAAGCCCATTATTGGCATCAAAAACATACAGATTAGAAAAATATGACGTTTTCTGTATTTTTTTTTTACCTGACAATGAAGATGATTGATAGTCAAACTCGATATTGGAACTTCATAAGGAATATGGGAAGCGAGTTCTTGTGTCAGCTCTTTGATCGTGTTGACTTCTTTGCCTTTAATACATTGCCTGAAGTAAGCGCATATACGCATATCCCTCAGCAAACGAGCATCCTTTTGTATCAAAACGCTGTACAAACAGAATACATGAAACCTGTTAAACTACATACATGAAAAACAATAAGCATATGAATGAGATTGTTCGATAGCTTACGATCGGTTGAAACTATCTTGATAAGCAGATTGAATCTCCATCAAATGAGCTGTCTCATCACCATTACCATCATCTAACCAGAACAACCCAGCTGGCAAGTTCTTGCTGTAAGCAGAGATGTTGATTTTCACAACGTGGGAGGGAGAAACATATCTCAATACGTCCACCAACAAATCATATCCAATACCTTTTAAAAACAGAAACCATAATGTTAGTGAAAGAAAGTGATCAAATCCTTTTCGTTTGACAGGAAGGATAAAGAGAATGAGTTTACCTTTAACCCATCCCGGTGTGTTGATGACAAGAGGTAGTTCAGTTTTGTTCTCGCTAGACTTGCAGAAGTAAAGCTGGTAGTAATCGAATAAGGTGTATATATATCTTAGATATGCCTTTGGATCCATCTTTGAAGAGACATCACCATAGAAGAAACATCTGCATCATCAAATAAGAGAGAAAAGAAGACAAATGGCTTTAATTTTTTTTTAATCAAAATACTCGGTGCTACTGATCCCATGAAATTTTGCTTACCTCTCTGGTGTCTTTACACATGGAACCGTCCAATCCGACTCTAGCAAGAAGAAAAAATGTAAAACCAATAACATGTAAGTGACGGAAAGAGATTTATAAGAAGAGATTTTTCGGAATGTAAACAGAAAGAGTACCTAGAATTGATTTGTCAACAACTGTGAGAGAAAGAAATCCAGGTGGAGTAAATTCAGGCTGGCCAACATCAGTGTCCAAATAAGCAACTCTTTTGTATCTGTAAATCAAATTGTAACAATGTAAATACAGTTTTCACTGAAAAGACAACTTTATCTACCAATAACTTGATTTCAAGAACTTGTTAAATGACTAAGGCAGTAAAGAGAGAGAGAAAATGGAGAAGGATTGACCTTCGGAGAAGAACTTCAACAAGATTGCGGGAAAATGTGCTCTTGCCACTGTTTTTAGGGCCACAGACTAAAGCTACAGCCGGTTGCAAAGACGAGGTGGAGCTGCAGGAAACAGAACTTGCTGCATCCGACCATTCCTGTGGTATGAAAGGCGACTTCTTTTCTGCTTCCGACATTTATCGTGCTACCTTTTTCACTGTGCCGCTCTGTTTTTACCGTAAAAGAGCAAGAAGGTTTAATAAACAGCCAACAATTCGTTCACCTAACAAGTACAAAAATTTATCCTTTTCCACCTTAAGCTACGACTGTAGACTCAGCTTAGCTAGAATTTGATCTTAAGTAGCACCTTACAAAGACTTCAACATTCTTCTAACCAATTACCACACTACAAAAATATCACAACAAAATTCGATTTCCAGTATAAAAATTTTACGAGCTCATGGCCTAGGTTTATGAGGTAAAGACGTAGTAAACATACTTGTTAAATATCACGGAGAGCGAAGAAACAAACCGTCGGAGAGGGAATAGCCGGCGATTTGGAGTCCTCTCGACCAGTGGAGAAGGTATCAAGCCGTCGGAGAAGACGGGGCTAGGAAATAATAGGGTTTTAGGTGCTTTCGAAACCAAACCGGAAATGAACCAAAATTTATAAAATTGATTTTAGATCAAAACCCGGACCAGTCCGGTGTATTAATTTTAGAAGCAACGTGTTAACGAACCGGAAATACGTACCAGATAAAGATCTGACTTGCTAATTGAACCGTCCGGGTTTTGATTTTCGGATTGGATAATCCGTTTCGAAATGGACAATCCGTTTCGAAATGGACAATCCGAAGAAGCTTTTGTTCTATTTTTTAAAATGTGGTGGCGGTGCTAAGTGATTTTCACTACGAGTCGTCGTGTTCTGAGAGACTGAGACGAAGAATACTTCTACATAGTGGACGTGGACCCCCTAATCAGTTTGTTTATCAATTTATGTGTATCCTTGTTTGATTTGTATTAGTTTCTCGTATCTTTTGTGGATGCAGTGGTTCACAATGTTCTTTTAGGTAAAACTTGTAAGTGGTTCACATTTACGTGTATGTATATTATATTTCACTAAAATAATGATCTTCGAGACATGAACCTGCTATTTCCCACCAGCATAGTCCGAGATCTCAATTACTTCGTGGCAGCTAATATTCCGCCGGTGAATCAATTATAAACCATATAATTTAATATATTTGTATTTTAATAAAATTATGCTTACTCACCAGAGTATCTTTATCATTTAGCTCTGCTGTTTAAAATTTTAGGTTAAACAACATCTCTAGACCTTTTGTTTCAAAATGTTATACTTGTATACTGCATCTTTCTGCTGTTCTTTTCACTTTTTATTAGGAATTTTATGAACGACCAAAATGTTTGTCATTCTATGGTAGGAAGATTATCAATCATACACACAGTCATCACCAAATCAATTAAAAATGTCGTTAAGTCAGAGATATTTATGAGGTGGGTGTGATGAAAAAAGAAAGAAAGGTATTTGAATAAAGTTGAAAGGAGAATCTAAGAAAATGAAGGTCGAGACTCGAGAGGGGTTTAAGTTGAATACTAAAAAACGTGTTGTTGTTTCAAACTGACCTGGTCTTAGTCTTCCACATGAGAAACTTTAGTCAACCATTGCTCTTCGTTGTTCTAACTTCTATATGTGTCATTATTCAACCATTGCTTTCCGTTTTAAATGCTTCAATATAACATGTCAAATAAAAAAAATACATCCGAGTTTTTAAGTTACTTAATCATCAAATCAACCATATTTATGTATTGTGTTTTGTTAATTGTGTTAACAGAGGTTAGACTCAAAACAGAAAAGGTTTTACTGAGATAACAGAGAGTCAGAGACTCTTTACTTCTTTAGGGACTGATCACTGATATCATGTATTGCTAATTGTATTTCGTTGTCTTTAGGCGCATAAACTCGCGTATTCTTGCTGAGCAGTTAGATTTTTAAAAATATTTTGTCATTTAGTCCGGGTTCGAATAGGTTATATGTTTGGTGTACAGCAATAATTTTAATTAGAGACAAACCATAGCTTATAATGGGTTGTTGTTATACACGCAGCTAATAATTTGAATAATGTAAAAGAGGTTTAGCTGTCTTACAGTTTTAGTTTCGTGAAGCTAAAGCTTCAAAACCCATCTTGTTTTATAGTATAAGAAATTCAGATCTAACAAAATATCAAACTTATAATATGGATATGCCTTTTTTTCAAATGACTCATTGAGTACTTATCCACCTCCTTTTAGCTGTCTGCCAACGTATCCGAATAACTCGAAAATTCAATAAAATAAGCTTTTCTCAAAATAATTAAATCAACTGAAAACGATGTTTCCGTAGAAGAATTATTTTTTATTGTTCCTAGCATCAGAAGGGATGCACCGTAAATTGTCCTCCGAAATTAGCTGTATCGATCACACTAATGTGCTCCTATTTTTCAAGACCAGTATACATATCTAAATTCAAGAGAGATTAAATGTATATACTTCGATTAAATACCCATTTAGTTATAAGCTTATTAATGGGTATGTTAAAATTAAAGCACTTGTAGTTTTAATAATGTGAAATTATTAACTTCTGTATCTATTGATTATGTTCTCCAGAGAAGTGTCAAGTGTGCAGGTAGTTATCATATCATGTTCCTCAGAGTCGAACAGTTAAGTAATTAACACACAACACACGCCTTTTCACCTTTTTCCTGGGGTAAAAAAATACGGTTAACTCCAACATCTTGAAAAAGACAAATCACATTATAAACATTACAAACAAAATAAATTAAATCTATGCAACAAAATTGTAGATCAATTTTACTCGTGTATCTACCAAAACAAAACTGTGAATAAATAGTAGTCGAGTTAATTATCGCTCTAAGAAAGTCAAGTTGAAAAAGTCAGTTGATGTACATACAAATTTACAAGTTGCAAGTTTGAAGTTCCATTTCTTGTAATTGTTAATCTTACGTCTCTATCTTCTGTCTTCATCCAATTTTTGTTACGTATGTTTCGAGCCAAACATCATTATAAGCTACAACCATTCCATTTTATGATTTTTAAAAGTCAGTTTTTTATAAATAGTAAGAAAAATAAAAGGAAAGAAAGAAAAACCCATTGAAACCAAAAACCTCCCAACACAACTCCCGAAAAAATCTCTCTATATTTCTCATTTCTTCTTCTTTCTTCCTCCAAAATTGAAAAAAAAGGAAACACAAATGTCTCCCTCTCGCCACATCCCCGCTTGGCTCCGCCCTACTTCCGATCACAATCATCCTCCAGCGCCATCTCAATCGCCTTCTCCGTTAGTCTCCGGCGATCCGAATCTCACAACTTGTCTCTACCAAACAGATCACGGCGTCTTCTATCTCACATGGTCTCGCAGTTTCTTAGGAGGCCACTCTCTGAATCTCTTCCTCCACTCTCAAGACTACTACAACCACTCTTCCCCTCTCTCCTTCTCCTCCGCCGATCTCTCCCTCTCCTCCGCCGTCTCTTTCCATCTCAACTTAAACACATTGGCTTTCTGGAGAAAACGCGGATCCAGATGCGTTTCCCCCAAAATCCAAGTCTTCTGGGACTTGACCAGGGCCAAATTCGACTCCGGATCCGAGCCTAGATCCGGTTTCTACATCGCCGTAGTCGTCGACGGAGAGATGGCGCTCTTGGTCGGAGATATCGTCAAGGAAGCTTACGCTCGCGCCAAATCTGCGAAACCGCCGACGAATCCTCAAGCTCTGCTGTTGAGGAAAGAGCACGTGTTCGGAGCTAGGGTCTTCTCAACGAAGGCGAGATTCGGAGGGAGGAACAGAGAGATTTCGATCGATTGCCGAGTCGACGAAGACGCGAGGCTCTGTTTCAGCGTCGATTCGAAACAGGTTTTGCAGATCAAGCGGCTCAGGTGGAAATTCAGGGGAAATGAGAAAGTAGAAATCGACGGAGTTCCTGTTCAGATCTCTTGGGATGTTTACAATTGGCTGTTCCAGAGCAAGAATTCCGGCGACGGAGGACACGCCGTGTTTATGTTCAGATTCGAGAACGATCCAGAAGCAGAGGAGGTTAGCGAAACGAAGAGGAAAGAAGAAGATGAGAGAAATGGCGTCGTTTTGTGGAAGCCGAAGCAGTGTGGAAGCAGCTTGGGGATTAAAGGGATCGTGGAGTGGAGGAAGATGAGGAAGAGATTCGTTAAGAGCAAGAGGAGTTCGTCGTCGTCGTCGATCTCGATGTCTTCGGCTTCGTCGGCTTGTAGCTCATCGGTTTTGGAGTGGGCTAGCAGCGCCGATGAGGCGGAGTACGGTGGAGTAGGATCTTCCGGTACTGGCTCCGGCAATGGCCTTGGATTCTCCTTGCTAGTTTACGCTTGGATTAAGTGAGTTTTTTATTTTGGGGAAAAAAAACTAAAAGGGAAAGATACTGTTTCGGTCAAAATTGATTTTCTTGTTTTCTTTTTTACATTATTTCACCCACGGACAAGACAACAAGAGAAAATATTGGAGTAAATTTTATAAATTCAATTTTCGTATACTATCTCTTTCCCTTTCGTTAAAAATATTATATTAAACTAAAGCAATTCGAATACACTACACAACTGTAAAAAAGTTGATGTTTTCTGACGGTGCCTTGTTGTATTAGTTGAGTAGATTGGTTGTTAAATGTTGACTCCAGGCTTTGGATAATAGTCAAGTTTTGGATTTAGTACACGATATTTAGATTATAATTACAATTCAGTCCTGATATATAATCCATTATTTGGGTGGTCCCTTTTCTAATACTTTATAACGGTTCCACTCATATTGAGAGGTATGGTTTTTGTAACGCTAGAGAAATATTCAAGGATTTGTAAATTGCAAGACAGTAAGAGTGTAAATCAGTGGGAAAAAAGGGTGGCGAATAATGCAAATTCGATTAAAAAGGGTGCAATGGGATGAAAATTAAAAGTTAAGGGGAATATAGCGAAACGGAGGAATACTATGCGTTTGATATAATTTGATGAGTGGCGTGAGGTGATGCTTAAGATAGGGAAAAGAGAGAAGCACTTTTTAGGAAATATTTCATGTTTTCCGACAAAGTACCAACGTAACATGTGAGTAATGGGTCCCACTGTCTCTTAGTCTTCTCTTTTGGCTCTAATTTTCTTACGATAGTAAGAACTATTTATTTCATCAGCATTCGTTATAGATACAAGTTGCAGAGAATATGAATTCAGCACATATTTACCGCCTTTTTTATGCGCTTTTGATCCGCAGACATTTTCGACAGATCCTACGGAGTAATTTTCTTCGAGTATTATTATATTCTCCGTAGTTGTCATGTTATTGGAATGGTTGATTGAAATCGGCTTTTAGGAATGGCTAGTCCGGTTTGTCTCGGCCCAGTCTGTTTTTTAAGTACAGTGTACTTTTTGTCCTAATCCGATTTGAACTTCCACTTCCAGTTTTCTAGTACTAGTATGTTGCAGAACGTTGGTGTCTATATCTCCATCTCAATATTTGTTGCTGATTGTCATAAGTTTCTGCGATAATAGTTTTCATCTATATCTACACAGACGATTCTTCAAAGACACGAGATTTTCCATTGTGACGAGATTAGATGAAAATTTGTCTGTGTAGAGAAATGTATCATTCGTGAAGTTTAGAAAGACTTCTTGCAGAAGAATCTTGGACCTCTTTCTACAGTGTTTGCAGAGCTTACTTGATCCTAACATGCTGTAGATTGATTATCTTGTAATCTTCTAAACATGCTGAAATTTTCATCTTTCAATATTCAATTGCCAATTAAACGGCAAAATTTAGAAGAATACAATACAGAGTCACAGACTGTACTATACAGTATGATGCTTAACAAAGTATCACGTTATTAACTTATTTTAATAACCAATCTAATTGTTGGACAGCAATAATAATTTCGAATAAATGAATAAATGAAATGAAAAACAATAGAGATTGCAGAATAAATGAATAAATGAAATGAAATCAATAGACTGCAGAATCACTTTCCAGCTAAAACCAAAATGTAATCACACAATAATCTCTTGAACTCGGATTCAAACTCGGGACGACTCAGGAGGAAGGATTCACCCACACCTTTCATGGCCATCTCCTTCGCATCGGATCCGAATCACATTACCGGAAACCCGATTCAAACCGGGTTCACCAGATGATAGTCTTCTCTGAGACACCGTGGAGCAACGGCCGTGATTCGATCAATAAATCCAGCTTGCTCCTAATGAACCGATCCGACCGGGTTATAAACCGAATCGATTCCTCGAAAACCGATTCTTCGCATGGGATAACCAACGGACCGTGGTTAGCAAAACCGAACTCTTCCTCGGCCTTGACCAGAAGATTCGTGAAAATGGGGTGGTTCAAATGCGTCGCGCGCACCACGAATCTCCTGCAGCTGCTCCCAACGTAAACCGCCACGTGTCCTGACGGCACATCCGACGGTACACCGCAGCGTCTGGCAGACGACATTCGCGCCTTGTTCCGCCATTGTCGCAGCATCTGCCTCAGCCTCACAATGTGTCTGATCTTGCTGCATTTTCCGATACCTCCAGCCATTTTTTTTTTCGATTGGTTTGAGCTCGACGCAGGACTGGCTCGACGAGAGAAAGTGTGAGAAGGAGAGAGAAATTGAGGCGGAGGGATTTGAGTAATTTGGGAGGGACGAAGTTTATATAGTAGAGGGAGTAACACAATCCCCTTGGTTTTCTGAGATAATTACGAGATTGCCACAGTGGTTCAGACTTTTGGCGTCTTGCGCCGGATGAAACAGAAGTAGTGCGTGATGGATGATGGAAAGATTTAATTATTCGGGAGATTAGTTTTAATTAGTTTTGTTAGGAGAAATATTAGATACGATTCTTAGAGGAGGGAGCATTAATGATCTTGTGTGTTTTTTTCTTCTTGATGCATTGGATGTGTTTGACATATACACAACAAACTGTGGATTCGACATGTGAAATTTAGTAGTTGATTATTGGTTCATATAAAATCCAAGGTTTTAATAAATATGCTAATGAGCCTATCACAGAAAAATGATCAAATGGCAGTTATTAGAGACAAAAGAACTGTTATTTGTTTAGAGACAAATAGTAGTGTTTAGGGAGGCGACATGATCAAGTTTTCTGGTTTATAGGAGGCGATATCAAATTCATAAGCCCTAAATGATTGCATCATTGGCAAACTGCATGTAAATCGGTCATAGTAGTGACTAGTGAACAAAAGAGAGAAATCCATTTTTAAAAATGTTAATGTTTTAAGATGTTAAAAATCTGCTTCAAGTTAGTTCGTGCTAGTACAAACAAAGGCGTGCCTGCAAGCAAGTCTGCAACCGCCGCTATAGGGTCAAAGCTTTCATATATGCAAACTAAACTATGAAATTTGAATGAAGGAAAACTAATAAAGAAAGTTGAACGAATACTAAATTATGCTTTTATTTGGATTAATATAATTTCTGTGCAACGAAAGTATGAAAGTTTTACTTAATCAACAGAAAGAAATACAACCCACCACATGCGTAGCTGGAAAAGGGGGGAAATGTACTCGAGCAAATGTAGTTTCGATTGAATCTCTGATTTAATATACGTAAAGCATCAAGTTTTGGTTGTAGAGATTATGTCAGAATAGGCAAATCAACTTAAATTATTATCAAGAGATAAGTAAGTATTTTATAAGAAATGGGAAAGAATATAATGCGGCGTACCAAAGCACTAAATTTGTAGTTTACGAATGTGATAAAGCCCCCATGTGCGCGAACATCTCGTCTTTATGAGGAACAAGAAATAACCCAGAATACTTATCGTTTATATCAGGGTAAATGTAAACCACGCCAGTCCTTACCACATAACCACGTATTTTATGGCTTATAAAGACTGATAGACTGATAGTCGTTTCAAATCTAAATACAGTAGTATCAGTTTAGCAGTACATTTATATAAAAGTGTATCATGCTGAAATCAAATATATATGGAGAGCAAAGATAATTCAATCATTCAAGTGTATATATTTGTATTCAAATGAATAAACCGGTTCAATCGAAGAGCATGTTAGTTGATGGTTGTTAAGGATCATCTCATTTAATTATCTCTTGTTGAAGCTTAAGCATACTTCTACAAGCCACAGTTATATTATTGTTACTTCTTAACAAGATATGCTTGCATAAATTGTTACTAAACAGTTATAGAGAAAAATAAATTCCCTGTTTTTGTATTTCGGTCTCCTATCTTCTGCCAATACTCTCGAGTCTTACAGTTGACATACGACCGTCCATCCGTTTGTAAGTTTACATTTTTATTCTTCCCTTTTATGGACCTTTTCCATATCATAGTGGTTAAAACCGTCATTTTTTCCTCGGACGAAAAGAAGAAACACAAATGTCCACGTCATCGATCCGCGCAATAACTAAACCAATGAAAAGCGAAGACGCGGATCGCCACGTCAGTTTTCACAATCATTAACCAGATCTGAACCGTTGAAAATGTCAAGATCGTACTCCTTCTGTACCTTCCAAAATTAACCGACTAAACATCCACTATATAATCATAATAATAACCTTTTACTATTTCACATCAAACATAAGAAAACTCACTTTCTTAATCAAAGAATCTTTCTCTCATTCTTTTCGAAAAGTCGCATCTCTGAGAAGAACAATGGCTCGTACCAAGCAAACCGCCAGGAAATCCACCGGAGGTAAAGCTCCCAGGAAGCAACTTGCCACCAAGGTTTGTTCTTTGATCTCTGATCTCGGATTTGTAATTCTCGGCTGAATTTCGAGTTTTTATGGATGGAATCGGTCAAAAGGGGATCTAGGGTTTTTCGATTTGAGTTCATGATCGAATTTGTAATGAATTGAGGGAAAAGGGGATTTAGAGTATTCAATTTGTGCTGAATTCTGAGTTTATGATTGCGTCTCTAACGAAATCTCTTTGATTGACAGGCGGCGAGGAAATCTGCGCCGACCACCGGAGGAGTGAAGAAGCCACATCGTTACCGTCCAGGAACCGTCGCTCTTCGTGAGATTAGGAAATACCAGAAGAGCACTGAGTTGTTGATCCGTAAACTTCCATTCCAGCGTCTTGTTCGTGAAATTGCCCAGGACTTCAAGGTAAATTACATTCCTCGATTTCTCGTTTCTAATTGAGTTGATGATTTGCAAATTGTTCTTATTTGACTGATTTTGGTGAATTGGATTGCAGACGGATCTGAGGTTTCAGAGTCACGCGGTGTTAGCACTTCAGGAGGCGGCTGAGGCGTATCTCGTGGGTCTGTTCGAGGATACCAATCTCTGTGCGATTCACGCTAAAAGGGTTACAATCATGCCCAAGGACATTCAACTGGCAAGGAGGATTCGTGGAGAGCGTGCTTAAGATTTCTCGTATTCGATTCAATTAGATTACGATCATTGTAATATTACTAGTGTTTTCGTTTTTTTTTCCCCTTTTGTTTCAGTTTTTTTCTTCCTATCAAACATCAAACAAAGTACATGGTGTTAAACTTTCAACAGCTAATTGAATCAAAACAATTTACATAAATCTTCTCTTAACAAATCATCTTGTTTTTTCCCCTGAATTTTCTTAATTTTCATTGTTGAATTCAAGGAAAAATCCAGAACACAATACCATGATAGACGAAGAGAAACTCTGTTGAGGATAATTAGACAGAAAAAGAAACTGAACATTATACCGCTTAACTTCGATTTAAGTCGTTTAACAACGGAAAAATATATGAGGACAAACTGGGAAATCTTGTTTTTGTTTGTTTGTTAACCACAAAACCACAGACACGTTCGTGACAAATTAATAATAGGGCTTTTATTGGGCCTTTAACTATCTCCGAGATTAATTTTTCGATTCTATTTGAAAGGCTTTTATTGGGCCTTAATATATTATATCTCGAAAAGACGGAGTCCCCACGTCGCCGCCGGGAAAACGCCGGTATTCCTCCGTCATCTACTGTCATTTTCAACTATTTATGCCATGTGTTTCAGGAAAGTGTGACTCTGATTGAAGAAGATTGTTGTGGTCAGGATTGTAGTATACTAGAAAATGAAATGGACCAATTAATCAATGAGGTTTGGTTCCATTACTTTTTCTTCACATGTGTTATTGTCTGCTTTGGTGTTTCCTCTTGGTTTTGTTCGATATAGTTTTGTTGGTTGTGGCCAATGTGTATCTGAAATGGGATAACAAACAAAGACGATCCGTCTTTTTCTGCTTAAGATGTTTATTGGGAAGAAAAATGTACATAGTCCTCTTTGATGCTAAGTGAAAATATTGGTAATGTAAACCACTTAGGCAAACTCTAACTAATGTTGTCTGCTTCACCTCCTTGCTAGTTAGTCATAAACCTGTTCATCCATCACTTGTTTTCTTAAATTTCTGAAGCTCGTTTTGCGTGAAAACTCATGGGATGATTCCTGTTTTGGTGGTTTCTTCATTTGACATAATTCATCTCAAGGTGCCATTCGGAGTCAGCTCGTTAGAATGATGTGAACTCCTCTTAAATTTTGTCTTCTGGCTCATTGGTTCCGACTCTTGTCCCACCTTTTGTGGCATAGGCACATGCTTATTGTGTACAGTCTATTTATGTAATATGTAGGTAAGGTAGTGCACTTATTTAAAGGCGCCCCTTTTTTTGTCTAGTGAACACAAGTTTGGGGGTCTCACAAAGATTTCATTGGATTCTTGATTATTTCATGATATTTTTGTTTTGTTTTGTTAGCTGCATTATTAGGATCATATCATGTGTTTATTCTTCTGAATTTTTTGCGTCTTGTCATCATCACAATTAACAACAAGCTCTTCTTTGTTTTCAACTTTACAATAAAAGAATGTTTTCTTTACTTTTAGGTAACCCAACTTTGACAACAAATCTTCCCGTAGAGATCTTAATATCATATCTTTCTTCAACACACTAAAAAGCTTCTTGGAACATCACCATCTCTTTAATGGTGGTTGGGTGTCTACTAGAAACCCATTGATACTTGTAGAAATGTGGATTGATGCATATCGTAAATCTATGGTAGAAAAATTATACTACAAGAGTACTAAAACCTTTTGATTAGACTGGTGAACATATCAGTGACAACAAAAAAACCAGTACAAAGAAAACAAAAAACTCGACTAAAACAATTACATAGCAAAAACAAAAAAATGGAAACAAAAGAATTTCAGAGTTTGAGGGATAAGTCAAGGCTTTTCTGCTTTTCTTCTTCAGCAGTCTTAGACAATTCTCCGCTTCTTCGCCACATTTCAGGAGTAGCAAACTCTACTGGAATCCTTCCCACATCGAACCTACCAAAGCTTTCACATGTTGAAGCCAACGATGGAGTAATCATCTGATGATGATGATGATTCTCTGTTGAAGATAGTTTACCTATGGCTGGTTGCTGAACAAGTGGTATCCTTGACCAGTTGATCTGACCATATTCACCACCAAAAACGTTATATGAACTTAGCTTGTGACTCATTGAGTGTGCCTGAATATCCAACGATCTGTTGCTGTACTGTCCGTGGAACGGGACAGGAGCAAAACCATATGGATGCCCAAAAGCTGCTGAAGATGCCATCCGCTGACCTCGCTTTGCCAAAGTCCTTTCTCTTTTGTGAGCGTTTTGGTGACCACCAAGGGCCTGTGAGCTGTAGAACGTTCTTTGACAGTAGTTGCATGAGAAGAGCTTCTGTTCAACGGATCTTGATCCGTTATTTCTCGGAGTGACTACACTTGTGTCTAAGCTTTCGATGAGATTGAGTTCTTGGTTGAGCTGTGGTTGACTATAATCATATTCTGCTAGCGTAAGGTCAAGCCTTATGCCTTCCTCTCCTGCTTTTTGGTCATAATCATCTTCTTCTTGGGCCGCTTCTAAGTCTATGTTGTGATGTTCTAGGCTCAGCTTTAGAGAATCTTGAAATGGAAGAGTGGAAGGTGTGGAAACGATGAATGAGGAATCAGATGGCCATGGCTCATCCCTGGAGGCATCCATAAGTTGGCAAAAGAAGAAAAATATTTCTCTCTTTAGCTCTCACCTTCTGTCTCGGATTAATAGCTCTATATATATCTGAATTGACTAAGAAAACAAGAAAGCAGAAAAAGATAATTTTTTTTTCTCTCAGAAGTGGGAGGGAGCAGAAGTTGATACTATATAAGGAAAGAATAGAAACGCTTTTGGGTTTTCCAATAAGTGGAGAAAAAGTAGTAAGAAGATGAGAGAGAGATCAGAAATGGGTAGGTCTGGTTTGCTGACACACCACACACACAGAAAGACACAAGAAAACACTTGAAGCTGATTGGAAGTCCACCATCTAACACCTGTGTTTCTCCTTTTGTAGGAGCCAACTTTCACTTTCACATCAACCTTTTTTGGATACTTTCTCCTTTCATAAAACCAATCTCTATTATCTATCAATGCATAATTCGTTTACTCTTCTCACTCAGTCTTGTGCCTTTATGTGCTTAAAATTTCTTCATTGAATGTGTCACTGAATACATTTGTACAGTATTCACTAGTTCTGAAACTGATGGAGACATTTTAGACTCTGTTGTATGATGTAAAAAGGGAACGAGATAAATGAAAGCTTAGCAGTTCAAAAGATTTCTCGAAAATAGGACCGGTTTTATTTGTTTGATGTAACGGCAACTTGTTGTAATATTCACGGATTAGATGTAGATGACAACAAATGACAATGAAATGAAAAGGATGCTCAATGACAAGAGAGAGAGAGTGGACCAAGTGAAATTATTCAGGTATGTTTGATGTTTCTGTGTACTTTTTGAAACTTCGAGAGGAAAGAAGTGGCCATCTCTGTTTCCTTTTTAGCTTTCTACTGTTTAACTCCTTTGTGCCTCTCTCTCTCTCTTAGCTTTCTTTTGTCCTCTTCCACTTCTTCCTTTTTAAAGTTTGCTTCATATTCACTCTCATTCCTCTTTACAACCATTGGAATCCTCAATAGTCTAAGAATCATCCGGATTTTACGGTGAAGGGGATTTAGGATACACAGTACTAAACTCTCTTAGGACACATTCTCACAGTGATTTCCACTTTTTATATGATATGATTCTCCCTGTACATTTTCTTGTGATCATCACATATAGTCTCTAGAAGACCTCAGCAACATGTCACAGCAAAAACAGAGTATGTAGTAAGAATTCAACCTTTATAACAAGTCCACAAAAAGCTGAGTTAGATTCATATGTGAAAGGAAGGGATATTAATCATGTCCCTTGTGTTGTTGAAACCAGGATTACTTAAGTTTGTTTTCTGTTGATCATGGAGAATTGTGTTTGGATTTATCATCCATATTGATGATTCTTTTTTGGTTCCACTTGAATGTTGTATGAATTAAGGGACATGATTAATATCCCTTCCTTTCACATATGAATCTAACTCAGCTTTTTGTGGACTTGTTATAAAGGTTGAATTCTTACTACATACTCTGTTTTTCCTAATTCCTTATTAACAAAAATTTGAGTCCATAATCTAGGGATACGAATGCGACAAGAGCGAATCAATTATATACCGTTCACTGTTTGTTCGTGATGGATCATATTAAAATTTTTGAAATGAATATTGTTTGTCTTTTTTGAATACTTTCGAAGTCCATTAAATTGGTTCTCGTTTGGGTGGGAAAACAAAGTTGAAACGACAAAGCGTCTCATCTAGGGATAAGAATCTTAGATATGTAATAAGTAGTGGAAATTAAGTAATACTCTACTCTGTAGTAAACTCCAAAGATCTAATTGTTAGGACAAGTAGTTTAAGTATGTTGGGTATTTTGTCGAATGCGACCTATATAATTGGACACTAACGATCTACGATTAAGAAATTGGGAAGCTGATTCAGATAATCAATTGTTAGTTAGCTAGTATTAGAGTTTTGATTGACTATTACACGTGTAAGGAAGGGGCTGTGATTTCTTAACTTTCAAGGCGCGTAAGTGTTGCTGCTCATGAGATATTTGGTTTGTGAGTTTGGTTGAGTACTAATAACTAAAATATTTGTTAGGACAAATGCATTACATTTTGTTATTGATTTTTCTATTCTAGAAATGCATTAAAAACAAGAAACATGATGAGAAAGGGGAAAGCGAGAGAAGTGGTTTAAAGGAAACACCCCCACATGGATGATTACAAATATAAACAGTATTTGTGTATATCAGTAAATCACAATTCAACTATATCTTCTCGTCCGATATTAGGCAGAAAGTCCCTTCCAAAACACATCTTAACCTTACTTTCCATTTCTTTTTAAAAATATGGGTGCTTGACAGCTAAATCAATTAGAAAAAATGGTATGGGGTGGGAAGTTCAAATTCGGCTTCCTCGTTCTTTTTTAAGAAAAAACTATTGTTTCATCTTAACTAAACACATCCAATCTACGAAACGGGAAAGCCTTTTCACTTTTAAACTATGGGCCTGAAAGGCTAAAACTAGCCCAGATTTACAAAAAAAGACAACACGCAGTTGAACTCCTAAAAGCAAAACCAACGAGAAATCCGCGACCAAATTAATCGTTTCTTCTTTCTTCTTTACTCTGTGTCTTGAACTCTCTGTTTCTCTTTAATGGTTTCTTCACCTGTGTGACTAGAAAATTATCTGAAATTGAACTTTCTGATTTTTGATTTATGGGTTGAACTTGTTCGGTAGTGAGGATGCTATGAAAGCCTCCTTTGTGGAATGAATCAGAAGGTGCCGGTAAACTGGTGCTTTTTTCTGGAGATTTGTATATATATGTTAGATGTGTTCATTCTTTTGATGATATTATAAAGTAGAGTTAGTTGTGAAACTCGACACCGGAGACTTTAGCTTGTGGACCACCTTGTACATAGACTTAACACCGTAATACATTCTCGTCTCCCTCTTTGGCTCTGTAAATACAGTTTTCGTTTCTTATCAACCCATGTCACAAGAGAGGAGAAAGAAGACCACACCCAGGTTCATGAATCTGTTAAGCTCAATTGCAAGGTGTTGCAATTGAGGACACACCCACAAACTGATCCCCAAATCTCTGTTCTTGCGAGGAATTACAGAGTAGCAAAAAAGCTACAAGAAGAGAGAACACTGTCAAAGCACAAAAACGTCATTACTAAGAACACAAAAAAAAAAACGAAAAACAATTATAATTGGAGATTATTTATTAATAATGAAACGGGTAGCTGAAATGATATACATTCAGAAACTCAAAAGCTAAAACAAAAACCCCCTCATTTTCATCAAAAGGGGTTTTCCTGAAAAGAGAAAAAAAGAAAAAACAACAAAGACACAACAGAGTCACTTACTAAAAACCAATCTTTGCCAATTTACACAAACACAAAGTCTAATTGGTTCTCACACTCACAAACACTAAAACATGTCTTAAAAAATCTAAATCGCAGTCCTCTCGAACCTTTCTCTTAATTAGCAACAGTAGTAGTAGTAGTACCAATACCATCTTCCACACCTAAACCATACAAGACTCCAGTGTACTTCTCAGTCGACCCAGGGAAGTAACGTTCCTTAAGCTTCCTAAACGAGCCCAACGTGAGCAAGCTATCTGACCCCGCCTGATGACAAATCCCAACTCTCTCCACTCCCATAAGCTCAGCGAGCCTGTTCAATCCCCCAAACAATCCATTGCAGAACGTCATCAAGTGCTTGATATCGTAAACCGTCGGGAAGTACACATACAACAGCTTGAAGAAATCAGCCTGCTTCATCGGCAACTCCTTGCAGGTCAACAGTTTCACCAAATACCCGAAATCGTAACCTCCATGGAACGTAACCCAAGAGATCGACTCGTTCAAAACAATCCCAGAAGACATCATCAGCTCGCCGAAGCGAACCACGTCGATACCTTTCTCGACGTTCTTCTTGAAATCGATCCCGCACTGACGGAGAAGCTCGATGGACTCGCTCGCGTAGATGTCTTCCCCGATGTTGAACTCGCGGAAATTGAACTGCCAGATGCAGAATTTGTCCGTCCCGCAAGTCGGGAGGTTTCCATTCTCGTCGGAGAATGTGAGCCCGACTTGGATCAGTTTCAGCAAATCGACGTTCTCCTTGAGAGTCCGGTAGTTGAGGTCGTTGTTGTACTTGAAAGTAGCGACCGGCTTCAACACCACACCTGGAAACTCAGTATCCATGGCGATGTAGCTGAATTTGTCCACAATCTCCCGAATCAATGCGAATTCCTCGACCAGGTTGTCATTCCAAACCTCTCGAATCGTGATCGAATCTTCTTTCAGAGTCTCCGCCATCTCCAATTATCACAGCAATCAGAAGAATTACAAACAACACAGATCTGAAAACACAGCATACGTCAACTCGGAGAAATCGAAGAAACCTGTACGGAGATCTACAGATCTGAGAGCGAAAAGCTTCCGATCTGGAGAGAAATCGAGCCGGTGAAGATCAGAAAACCATTGGGAAGGGAACGAAGGCGAAACCCTAAGCTGTTAACGAAATTCGAATTGAGGAAATGAAACGGAAAATAAAGTGGGAAAAATACCTCAGATTTCGCAGTACAGATGTTGGAGAACGAACAGATCTAGCGGATACGAAGAGAGATCCGTGCGTCTGCGAGAGAAATTCTCGGGTCAACCGGAGAGAAAGAGGTTTCAAGTGAGAGAGAGAGAGAGAGAGGTTAGGCTTTGGGGACGATGAAGTGATAAATAGAGAAGCGAGGGAGACAAGTGTGAGCCTTCAAAACGCTGCCGTTTCGTTTGATGAGGGAAGCTTCATACGACGACGTATTACCGTGCGCCTTCTTGCATCAATCATTACACTTTGGCCAGTTACCAATTATTTTATCCGAATTGTCTTCTTCTCGGAATATATAATTGTAATAGTTATTTATATTAAATTATGTGAATGTGATATGTTATGAATATGATGATGACTATCTTCTATTAATGTGCATCACGGAAATTCCGTTTGTTTGTAACTCCCATGATTTTTTTTTTTCTCTCCTTTCTAGACCTACCTCTATTATTGTTTTGCTTGGATTTTTAATGTGATTTAATGTGTAGTTAAATAGTTCTAACTTGATATTTTTATATATTCTCATGAGAAACGTATAGGAAAAGTTGTTTATTTTGCGAGACAAAAGGAGGAAAAGTTGTATGCTTAAAATTGCATACTGAATTTTGTTGTACATGTCGAAAATATATAGTTTTGTCAATGTGGTTGTTATATTTCAAAACAAACAAAGTCATAGTTCTCGTAAATCAAGGGAGAAGACGTTTCACAAGATAGATTCATCACTGAAACAACGTATTGCTTAGCTAACATTTTCTCTCTTCAACATTTCTTTTTCTTTTTCCTGAAGAAACGAAACTGTATATTCAATACGTAATCAAAACCATTAAATATTATAGAGATAATGGTTTACAGATATCCTTCGTTCATGTATACATAATACAACCGTTCTAGATCCTCAAAACGCTTCGAACTTTCAGCAAAGTAATATTTTTTTGTTCATAAAAATCCATGATACGATTCTACAACTCAAACGACCTGAGGGCCAATAAATTGTACAGAAAATATAATTATTGGGAAGAAAAATGGATAAAGGAATATTGATTCTGATCATTATTACGGAGTCAAGGCATCATCGTGCTTCCCACTTACCCTGAACCTGAAGCATAATAATGATCGGTTAATTGTTATATAGCTAAACATATGAATACTAATTTATACTATTACTTGTAAAGTTGTAATTCATAAATTTAGTCACAAAATACTAAATGATGGTTCATTATCTTCCATCTACGACCATTTCCTTGAAAAATTCTGTTGGAATATCCAACACATACACCAAATTCCAAGATTCTGCTTCTTTGTCCAAATATAACTGTCAACGTCTAATTGCTTACTCGTCTTAAAATAGTTAAATGTCGAATACTTCGCTTGCCGTTGATGATAACGGAAAAATAAAAAGGTTCAGACGAGCTATATGTCTCATTTCTTATAACTTGGATATATATATGTGTGTATTTTTGCCCATAGTTTCGAAACAATGCCGTAGGAGTGGAGTCAGTGAACACATATATGATATCATAAATTATATTTTGAAGATAAGTGAAATGTTTATATTTAGACTAAGCTATTTGAATGTATTTTAATTTATAACCGTAGATATTCAGTGTTTAGAATCACCACTCTGATATAGTTGAATTACTTAGTCCCATATGAATCTAATAGACAGAGGGAGATAAAACAACAACAAAAATATAATATAGAGATCATTCGTTTATAGATTGTAAACTTAGCTTTGAAAGTCGAGTTCATCCAAGTGATAGTACGTCATAAGAGAATCTAATACTCGCTTACTATGCGAATAAGAGTCCACATTTTCACGCACGTCATAAATTCACTTATTAACAAACCAGAAAACTAAACTTATGCCAGCCTATATCTATCAAAATATGTTACTCTGATTGTTTTTAGGATTTTATTTCACCTATCAAACGGTCAAATAACTTTGAAAGAATACTGTCGTTTGTATTCGACTTTGTAATCATTTCTAATTGTACGTTGATATTTTGATGAAATTCAGTCTAAAAATAAAATCTCATCGTCTAGGACTTTTTTTACAACATGAAGTATTAATCATAAATATTCATTCACTTTACGTAGCAAACTGTATTTATTCTCCCAAAATGGGAACAATATGTTATATCATTCCGAATGCGAAAAACAAAAAACAAAAACAATTATGCTAAATATAGTTTGAGAAATCCGTAATAAATATATGCGATTAGGTTTACAAAATAAAATATTTACGTAACTTCAATTTTAAATACATCAGAAATTAGCCGCAAATCATATTGTACCAAACAAAATAGTTTGTCCTTTCCAAACGTAACGTAAAACCCTAATCCATGACCTAATTTTAAATACATCACAAATTAGCCGCAAATCATATTGTACCAATCAAAACAGTCCTTTCTAAATGTAACACAAAACCCTAATCTGTGACCTAATACATTTCCGCTTTTTCTTTCCATAATATTTTTTCATCGGCATTTTAGTAATTTTTTTTCAAAAAATGTATTGCCGATATATTTTCATAGAACACTATTTCATCTATACACTTATGAGATTTTGAAAAAAAAATCTATACATTTTTAATATATGCGAAAAGAATCTTTTTTTGAAAGTGGTAAAACTGAAACTTTAGATATTTTCTTTTATGTTTTATTTTTTTTCATTATATTGCAATTTGCAATAATGATATTTAAAATAGTTTTTGCCTTTTTGGGGTTTTTATTTTCTCCTGCCAGCCGTTAAAACTAATTACAGCCTATATTTTAATATATGCAATAAAATCTTATTGAAAGGGTAATAAAATCTTGCTTTAGAACTAATTACAGCTATCACACATCAAATGTTACCTCTGCAAATTAAATGGCTACCAACTTTTACAAGCACAAAAAGAAAGACAGTTGGGTAATGACCAGATTAGTGAGTGAACGAGGGGGATTAGGGGATGAGTATTAGACAGCTAAACCTGTGGTCAGCATTCACGTGACACATAATTCCTGATTTGTGAGATCACGTGCCTTTTTTGCGTTGGTTCGTTGAACATATTGTCTTCAGGTCCTCGGGGGTGGTTTCACGCCCAATCCAACCCTAATATATTTCAATTTAACTGCCTCTCCCTCTCCTCCTCACTCTCTCACAATTCTCTCTTCTCTCATCTCTCGGCGAGCGGTGTAAGAGTAAGTTCTCTTACACCAACCAAACACATTTCTCTTCTTCTTCTTCCTGTTCTTCTTCTGATTTTGCTTCTGATTTTGCTTATTCTTTTGATTTACAGAAGATGGCGCCTTCGAGGAAGCAATCAGCAGCCAAGAGCAAGAGCAAGCCTTTGACTCTCTCTGCGAACACTAAGGTTCTCAATCGAATTGCTTCTTCAAGTTTGATACTTTGGTTTCCGCTTTGCTGTTTTGATGTGTTTATGAGCAAAATTGACTTGAATTACTGAATTTTTTTGGAACCAGGTTCGCAATTGCCGTGAATATGGCGAAGACTTGGTGGGTTCAAAGGTTAGAGTTTGGTGGCCGAAAGACCGCGAGTGAGTATCCAATACCATGGCAAAATTAGGGTTTTTTTTTTGAACTGTCAGTAGTTGCAATTGAATCTGACTGATAGATCTCTTTGGTTTGCAGATTCTACAAGGGTTCGATTGACTCATTTGACTCTTCCAAGAAGAGGCACAAGGTAATTCCTTGTTTCTGTGATGGGTCTGCTTGGACATAGATTGATTTCATATTTGTTTGGATTTTGAATTGGATCTCCCTGAAAGGTTTATTGATATGTGATAAATTAGGTTATCACTTGTATATTCATGGATCCTCGATATCTGGATAATAAATTGGATATCTTTGGTGGATCATGGATGATTTACTTTCTCAGGGCAAATTCAGTTATCAGTTTTTTTAGATTGTGGATGATCTTTTGGTTTACCCTATATTGTTATCGTCCTGTGATATTAGGTTCTGTATGATGATGGTGAAGTGGAGGTCTTGGACATGAAGAGGCAGAAGTGGGAGCTCGTTGAATCTGATGATGATAAGGAGGACAAGGTAGAGAGCGTTTCTGTCATTTATTGTCGATTTATTGCTGTGGATTACCAGGTTTTAATGGTTTAATGTGTTCCTTTTCAGATTGCCAAGCAGGAGGATTCTGGTGATGAGAGCTCTGACTCTGAGGCCACCCCTGAACCGTAAGTTTTGCCCTTATTCTTGATTAGTTTTTGATTCAGAACTTGTGTTGTGCTTGTGTATTATCAGTGTATGATGATAATTCCTGATATTCATAAGTTAGGATGATAAGTCTGTTTGAAACATACACGTACGTCCTTGTCTACGCATTGTGTCGCTTAGCTTTATATCTCAGTAATCTCAATGACATTTGTTTCGTCCCTTTACAGGGTTGTCAGGAAGAATGCAAAAAGGAATGGCAAGGCTGCTGTTGAAGAGAAGCCGAAGAAGAAGAGGTTGGTTACGTTTACGTGTGGATACTTAAATTAACTCGTGTACATATGCGCACGCTTTCAATCACATTCACACATTAATGTCTCTGGTTTCTCACATTATGGAGTTGCATTTATAACATTGAGATTACGTTACTGTTATCTTGCTTTGATTCTGATGGTTTAAATACTCTTATTTACAGTGTGGCCAAGAAGGCTGAGAAAGCGAAAGCTGTTGTGAAGCCAACCCCAAAGGCTGGAAAGAAGCCGGAAGCTGAG